CAACATGCCACTGCAGGAACGACGCGTGGGGAGGCGTGAAAAAGGCAGAGAGACCATTACAGGATTCAGCGGTCTTCCTTTCATGTAGGTCCGCCATATTCAGGCCGTGGACCAGTAAGCACTCGAATCTTCTCCTTCTGAATGGCCCCTTACTGACATCTGATGAGGGTAATTTGTATTTCAGGACCTTTCAACTAGAGTTTTCCAACTTCGGCAGAATCTTAGACAGCGTGAAGCGCGTGCTTCATCGTCGACAGACGCGGACATCGAGCCTCAGACAGACCCGCCGCCGTACAATTCGCTACACATATGAACTTTTACCAAAGTTTGTTTCTGAAGATTTCCGACACATGTTACAGTCTTTCTCTCTTTAAATGTCTGAATGTTACCACAGTGTGGATAATCGACGTTCGACTGGAAGCCGCACCGTGCCTCGCTGTCAACCCCTGTAGACTATACACTGGGAACCACATGTGGAGGTTTTTTACGCCCAGTGAAAGCATGTTTTAATGGCTCAGAATTAAGTCTCAAAACTCTCACCTTTGACTTAGTTTCGTTACACCGGTGACGCTAAGGCAATGATAAGATTGTACTGAATATATAATTCCCATTATTTTCTTTTCATGCAACGCGTTTCACAAGTTATCTAAGGTTCAGTGAAAAACAGAGATTGACAGAATCCTCATGTTAGGAGAGTTAGGGCACATCAGGAGAGCCTGTTTATCTCCATTTATTTTCATATAAAAAGTGTTACTAAAGGTTCCGGCATGAACTCTCGCTGCCAATATACATTGCTATTATTACACTAACTTACATCGACATCCAAGATTGACGTAGAAGGTACAACAACATTAAGCTGGAGAATTAGTTTATTGAACTGTTGAGGCAAATATCAAAAGATGAACCCATACATAACAAGTCAATTTGTGCAAAGCGAAATATTGTCAAATATTCAATAAATTACAGTTCACACAAGTAATTAACAAGTATAAATACACATTGTGTAAACAATCGAGGCACAAGCACAGCGTACACTGAAAATCGGTCTGCTGTTGTGTCCTGTAATTAAATACCGAGGACAAAGACGGGGGAGAGGAGACGTGTGTGCATTGCGGGCGTTGGGGGGGGGGGGGGGGGGGTTTGGGCCTTTTTTGTTGTTTTTTAAAAAAATTTTTTTTAAAAAAAACATTGAAAAAGGGGGTTAATTTTTTTTNATTCATTAGTGTTTCTACGTTTACGGGGGGGGGTGGGGGGGGGGGGGGGTGGGGGGGGGGGGGGGGGGGGGGGGGGGCATTGTGCCTTACTGTTGCTTTTTAAATAAATTACTTTTAAAAGTACACTGTAAAATGGTGTATATGCTTTCGTTACGTCAGGGCAATAACAGGTTTTATTTTCATCGAACCGTTCTTGCTGAAATTAAAATGTTTCTCATTTACAATGATGCTTTTAGTTTTTTTTTTCTTAGAGTTGTCAAGAAATACTTCTCATTTATACATTTGTAAAATATATAGGCAAAATGCACATTTTAACGATCAAAGATCCAACTACGTCTTGACGAAAAAGAGATGTCATAAGTGACTTTTATATGAATGTAACGTTCAGATATAAAGACATGTCTAACTGTACTTGTAAACCATCACTTCCAAGGTTTATAATGAAGTTAGCATCATTTAGTTAACTTCTTTCTCTTTACCCCTTTTTAAGATATATTGAAAAACAATTAATCAGCTGTACAAAACATTACGTTGGATACGAAACAATTTTATAAACATCCAACGAAATCAACTCAAAATACACATAGGCTAACCACAATTTTATGTACAATTTCATCAAACACAATTTACAAAATGATCGCTTTTGGCTCAGCGCAGACTTCGTAGAATGAAACACCTCTCTGCTTCCCGTAGTTGAGTCCCGGGTGTTGCTTCTGTTAGTTACTGGACCACAGATCACCAACAACCCCGGAGAAATCTGTGACGCTCTGGTGACCTTCACCTTCCTCGAGGACGGTCTCGAGGTTGGGGACATCCTTTGGCAGATTCATGGAGTCCACCATGTCGCGGTGGTGAGCGCGTTTGATGTGGACTTTGAGGTTGCCTTTCTGCGTGAAGGACATGTCGCAGTAAGAACAGGTGTGCGGTTTCTCTCCGCTGTGCTTCTTCAGGTGCATCTGGAGAGCGTTCTTCTGGTTGAAGGCCTTGGGGCAAAGGTCACACTGGAAAGGTCGCTCACCTGAGTGGACAAGTTAATAGCCGATTAATCGCACTGTGATAGGCTTTTTAATACTTCGATAATATACTACCAGACACTATATAGTCAATGAGAGAGAGAGAGAGGCATGGCAGGCACTCATAGATACTCATGACGCTTCTTATAGATACAATATATTCACTACATTCACTTTATGTAAAGACTCATAAAGCAAATGCTCTAGTTTCTGACGGATAAAGCTAACTTGAATACTAGCAATTTTAAAAACTCATATTTAAAAGCCTGTTCCTGACCTGTGTGTATCCTGACGTGTCTCTCCAGCTGACTTGGTTTATTGAAGGACTTCCCACACTGTTCACACTGGTAGGGGGTGGGGCGGGCACGGTTCTGACCAAGGTGAGACTGCATGTGCTCCTTCAGGTGAGGCAGACGCTTAAATGTCTTATTACATATCTGAAATTATACACATACAATCAATTAATAATAGAAATAAAGCATGGGGTTCACTGTTATGGGAAGACCCTATGATGGACATATTAAGATATGTTGTTTCTTTGGAAGTAGAATGGGGTGGGAGTATCTTAAGGAGTCATGACATACACCAAGATACTGAAATACCATAACTCTGATAAAACTTCTGTTTAAATATCAGTTAGCACAGCTGCACAGTGTTTAACACTGAGGATGATATTAATTACTTGAATGCATGTAAATGCCAAGTATTGTAATTAAAGACCATTATTCAAAGCAATACCAACCAGCAGATCTGTATTGACGCGGTTGAACTTTATAATAAAAGACACAAGTTATGTGAACCTTCAAAACAAAATAATTTCCATAATGAACAAATTTTCATACTTGACCAGAATTTGTTACATAGCACTAAAGAAATGAGGTCTGTAACTACACATTCATTCCTGAAGAAGATAATTACCTGACACAGGAAAGGTCTGTCTGGGTCAGTGGATGTAGCTTCCATGGCATCCTGCAGGTGGTCATCCCCTGTGTCTGTAGTGGTCACAGTGTCAGTGGTCAACTCCATGGTGTTAGCTGGGGTGGTGTCCACACTCTCCTCCATGGCCGGCTGTGGGAGGATAAAACATTGGGCTTTATAGTTATTGAAGATCTATAACTGCCTTCTCATAAACCCATCGTACAAGCTGGATCAAGTAAGTAAGGAGTAATTGACTCTGCTTGCACTAATGTAATTTAGGAAGAATTCCTTGGAGAGTTAGATGGATCCCGCTAGTACAATAGTTTTATGGAAATGCTCCCCAAGTCCATGATCCTAATACAGTGCCTGCAGTGACTTCTATTATGTGCAAGAAGGGAGCACATTTCAAATAAATCTATACCATTGCTATCAGGTATGGATGAAAGGGAAATATGATGAAATTCCTTTTTTCATTATTCATTTTCTTTTGCATAATAAAACAGGGATGGGGGTGAGGAATGGTTATAAAGAAAGGAATTCTTGTTATCATTTCATACATAATCCAGTCACTTTTTAAACTTTCTTAAGTTTCCACAATAACAAGAGATAAATTAAACAAAAAGGAAAAAAATCTTAATCCCTAAAAGAACAATTCATCATAATATAAGCTTCACAAGTATTTACAAACAAGAGAAACTTTGTCACCAACCAACCTCTTCCACTCCAAAATGGTGTTCCTCTCCTCCCACGTGGATCCCGCCAGCACCCCCCTGGGCAGTTTGACCCCCCTGACCCCCCATGGGGTGGACCAGGATACTGCTGGGGTCAGTGACGGTCACCTGTGACTGGACACCTGCTAACAGATTGGTGTCGGTGCTCTGGAATGCCTGGAAAATTTGCAGAAAACTGGCATGATTGTACACTTTGTCCAGAATTGGTGTTACTGTGAGGTGGTCCTTAAAATTCAAACTCTGCATTTATTTTAATGTTTTTTTTGTTTGTTTTCGGTAAAATTTGTTGTGTGATGAATTTTTCAAAGCTATGGACATAAAGTTATTAACTACTAGTAAATAAGTCAGTTAACATGTTGCTCTTTACAAATTGACCTCAGATCTTCATAATGGCCTTTACTAGAGATTGTTTTAATTTATATTACAACTATAATTTCTATAACACCAACTTCAATTCAGTCCTGGTGACAAAAACTGCTACAAGCCGTGTCTATGGGGATGTATAATACAAGGGATCTATACTCTGTTATTTGTTACCTGTGTGACAATATTTGGATTAATGGACAGATTGATGCCCTGTGCCTGTAGTTATTAGTTACCTGTGTGACAATATTTGGGTTAATAGACAGATTGATGCCCTGTGCCTGTATTTGTTAGTTACCTGTGTGACAATATTTGGGTTAATAGACAGATTGATGCCCTGTGCCTGTAGTTGCTGGAGGAGGTTGGCGTCTATCTGGACAGTCTGGGTCAGCAGGTTGGGGTCAATCCCAGTGATGTGGATGGCCTGACCAGTCCCTCCGGACACCTGTAGCTGGATACCTGGAGGGAGAGAAGGAGTGGATGATAAAACATTTTACTCTCATATCATGTTAACACAAACACAAATACCTGAATAGAGACAACTGGCCACTTGGCTTATGTGATGTGAGGGTCAACACAACACGCTCACTCACAAACACAAACACCTGGGCAGAGATGAGTGACAACTCTTGTCAACGCTACCCTGGCGGTCAACACAAGAAATATGCATACACAAACACATACACACTAGTCTATGATAATTCATGGAGCCAAATTTCATGATATATAACAAAACTATCATTATATTCGGTAACTGATTAAAATCATTTTAAATATTTCCACCAGCATGTTTACATTCCTTCTAATATATATAAAACTACACAAGATCATTCACTTTATAAACTAGTGATACAAACTACCATAAAAAATTTCAATATAAAACAAACTAATTTAATTTAAGCAAAATTAAGACTATTTATCATAATTTCATTATAACAAAGTATCACAATAACAGTAGACATATAACAAACTATCACAATAATAGCAGATATATAACAAAATATCAAATTAACAGTAGATATTTAAACAAACTATCAAAATAACAGAAGATTTATTCAAACAAAGGTCCATGTTGCCCACCTTCCATTCCCTGTAACACCTGAGCCGAGATATTCGACTCCCCTCCCGTGGTGCCAGTGGTCACCATATTACCCGCTGTAGCTGTCAGCTGGTCGGGAATGGACAGCGACACAGGCATCAGCGTCTGCTGGAGTAGTGAGGGGTCAAGGCTGATGACCTGGTTGCCCAGTGTGGCCTGAATGTTCTGGTCAGTGTTGTATAACACCTGGCCCACCTGCTGCATGTCTGTGGTGTTAATGTTGTGGCGCGTGCTGGTCTTCCTGCGTTTGGGCTGAGCGGGGCGGAAGTGGGTCTGAATGTGGCTTTTGCGATGTCCAGATGTGCGGAAACGTTCATCACAGTGTGGGCACTTGAAGGGCTTTGCGCCAGTGTGCAGGCGCATGTGCACTTTTAGACTTCCTTTTGTGGAGAAGTTGGAGTTGCAGACATGACACTTGAAAACTTTCTCAGCTGAAGTAAATATGGAGATATTTAAAGCTATTCCTTGTGCTGCCATATGCCAGGAAGCAGTGTTTGTACTCAGGGATATACCTCAAACAATGTCTTAAATTTTTAAAATAAGTTTGTGTTTACAAGTGTTAATTAACTGATGTAAAGTGCACTTTTTCCTATTAGTTTAAAAACATTTTACGAAAGACTTGCAGCTAATACATGTATTTAATAAGCTTTAACTGTTCACATAAAATCAACTTTGTAATAATGGTAGAAAAGCATGATACAGAAGACTAGCCCACAATTAAAACAGTTGACATGGTTTAATGCCACCACCGAGAACATCAACTGTAACTCACTTGGTCTGTGTGTTTTCATATGGGAATCTAGTGTAGATTTGACCGTGAAAGTTCGAGAGCAGATTGTGCAGGCGTAAGGTTTCTCTCCTGTGTGGATTCGCTTATGGCGGACAAGATCACTTGGTTTCTTGAAGCTCTTGGGACATCTAAAAGAAAATGAGAAGACTCTTTCTTGCATCAAAAACAATAAACAGCAAAAGTTAGTATCTGACTTTTCCCTCTCCCTTGCCATATTAACTTGAAACACTTATGGACTTATGCAAAGCATATGATACAAGTATCATTCAGTGAGAAGATATGCAAAAATAAAGTTGTGGAAAGATCTAACCAGCATTTCATAAGACACGTATAATTCCTGTATTATATAAGGTAAAGAGAAAGGAATATGTTAGCTGTGTTGAAGTCAAAGTCACACAAGAGTTGGTGATTGAATTCTATATATGTATCCCCACTTTATGCTAGATCTACACCAGGAAATATTGCTGAACAATTTTTTGTCTTTGAAATCTTACTTATCACAAGCATGAGCGTATTTGGGTTCCTTCTCTGGCTCTTTATCCATCTCACTGACTCTTTCCTTCTCAGCCGCTGATTCGATGAGAATTTTCTCAGAGAGGGAGGCGTGTTCGTCTGGCATTGCTTTCCTAAGTTCCGCAGCCTGTTCTTCTGTAAATTGGATGACGGCAGAGCGTGTACGCTTCTGGACTCCTTCCTCTTCATCTTCTGTTGTTTGTAGACGTAAAGATATCAAAATGATTACGGTAACTACTATAATGATTGTATATTCCACATCAATAAGAATGCTCAGAGAAGAAAAGTAAGATATTTTTGAAATTTAACAAAAAACAAACTGTTTACATTGATGACTTGGTAAAATTTAAGGCTCGTGCATGTAAAGTTTTTGATGTACACAATATACGGAAAATAACCTGATGACTATATATCAAGTCATGAAAAAAAAATTGTGCAGATAAATGTGCAATGCATCTTAATCACTGCAAAGCAACTTGTAGACAGATGAAAGACAATCTTCTTAATAACTAATTTTCGCTAATATGAAACCAAAGCTCAACTTCAAGTGATTATTGCATTAAAAAAGTTCCTGCTACAATGATTTCAAGAAAAAAAAATCAACACTGTCTCTCTCACCTCCATCATCCTCGTTGTCAATACTCTCCTTATGCAGCTTCATGTGTCTTTTACACAACACAGACGTGCGAAACGTCTCCTCGCAGTACATGCATTTAAACGGGCGTATGCTGCTGTGGATCATCATGTGACGCGTTAGAGAGCCGTTCGTAGTAAATAAGGCGTTGCAGATTTCACACTTGAAGTCTCTCTGGCCAGAGTGGGTCTTTAAGTGTGCCTTGAGAACTCCCATTGAGACAAACATCCTGCCACACTGCAGGCATTTATATGGCTTCTCTCCTACAAGACAACCAGTTAGATATTTATAAACAATTTCAGATAAATAGAACTACTTCATCAAGGCTCAGTGATGTATTCAGTACCCCCACTGAGCCTATTATCAATGACTGGCAATACGTGACATGATATTAGGCAGAACATCACCATGGTGATACAACTATGTTCTACACTGTCATCAGTTCAAATGAAACACACATGGGTATGGGTATCGTTCAGTAACACATCAAATTGTTAGCTTTGCGGTAACATGGCAGGCTCAATGGGTGCAACATTTCAACAGGCATGACCAACTAGGGATGTGATTACTAGTACTATCAATATGGTGTCCAGGCTGTAAGGTCAACATGAATGAACCAACTAGGCATGTGATTAATATCAGTATGATGTCCAGGAGCTGGCACCACTCACCTGTGTGTGACCTGACATGCTGCTTGAGGTGGGAGGATTTCTTGAAGGATTTCTCACAGTAGCCACACCTGTACGTCTTCTTGGCCTCTTCCTCTTCCTCCTCCAGTAAACCGTCATCTTTGTCCACTTCTCCGTCGTCCAATAATGGCTCCCTAGATAAGTTCACAAAAAGATCAAAATGTAGGATGATTTTGTTTTTGTAAATGATAAAGCAGAAAGTTGCAGAATTATGAAATGGTTCTGTTTTTTATTTTTTTTAAATGATACAATGTTGACAATTCTCTGAAGAAAAAACAAGATATTTTCAGAAGTCAGGATGACCTCGCCCAGTAAAAACACATAAAACTAATTATTTAAAATTTGTAAATGATAGCATTTCGGATATTTGAAAGTGCCATTTCAATCAATATACCTGGTCAGCAGTATGTTGTTCATGTTAGTACTGGGCAGTGATGACCCTATGGCTGGAGTGGTCTGAGGGAAGGAGGTGGTCAGTTCTACTTACCTGGTCTGTAGTATGTTGTTCATGTTAGTACTGGGCAGTGATGACCCTATGGCTGGAGTGGTCTGAGGGAAAGAAGTGGTCAGGGAGTCCAGGGCACTCTGAAGGTTACCAGACTGAAGAAGACCAGAGAATATTGAGGTCAAATAACATCATGATGAGGAACATAACTGTCAGTAGTACACAGGATTCTGACATTATCAAATATAAGACCTGACATATTTAATTTTTTTTCTAATATCGTGTGTTTATTTTTGGCCTATTACAATAATATGTTATAAAGGATACAGGGTACTATTTCGGATAATGTCTTCGAACTGATGCTAAGAAAAACGTAAATACACCAGAACTACATACCTGTAGAGCAGTAAACTGGTTCTGAGCCAGGAGCTGGTTGAGGTTGGGTTGTTGATTTAAGAGACTCTGGCTGATGTTCTGTTGACCAAGGACCTGAAAACATTGTATGACTAATTATCATCATATAACACATAATATTAACCCTCAACAATGATAAAATAATTTATATGTACAGTTCCTCTCTCAATGAATTACCATAAAATTGCAATGGAGGTACCAGGAGCTCATATCATCATATAACACATAACACAAACTGTCTACTGTAACAATAAAATATCATGTACAACTGATCTCGCTTTTTTAATTGCTGTATAATTGCAATGGCAGTACCAGGGGTAGAGTGGGTTACATGCCTCCCCTCTTCCATACACCCACTGAGCTGTAGAGGTGCCCATACTCCATTTCAAAAACAGTATAATGTACTATGCATGTTCTATGTCATCTTACCTGCTGGTTCAGAGTCTGCTGTAACTGTTGATCTAGGTTGTCATGGAGCAAGCTAGGCTGGTTTAGGTCCTGCTGACCTGGAGATAAATAAATAAATAAATAAACATATCCAAATCAATTAATACTTTAGTAGTTAAATTTCATATTAAAATTGATATTAAAATAAGTAGAAAGAAGTGGTTCAGTGGCCTTACTAACAGGGTGTTGAAGGCACCTGAAAAGTGCAGATATTCTGTTGGTCCAGGATTTTTGATTTAAATCGAAAGAAAATAGTCCATCTTCTGTACCTAAACCTTGCTGAGCCATCCCCCTCTGCTGGTCCAGCTCTTGTTGCAGCACCAGACTGCTCGCATGCTGCTCGTCCTGGGGAGGCATGGGGGCCACAAATTCCTCTCGATGGGGTTCCTGGGTCTCTCTGATTGGCTGAGCTGTCTGCTGCTGTTGCTGCATGGCTTGCATGGCAAGTTCATGTCTGAAAACAAGGTAGGAAAATTAGAATGATGTTAAAATAAATATTCATTGATTTATATCATTTAAAGCTTCATCTTATGACTTAAGCTGAGAACATGTCCTGTTTTTCTGACATACAGTAATCTATAACAGGGAATTTGAGTAATAAAGTTAAATATGGTAATGTATGATTGAAGTGCAAAAAAAGATCAGACTTTAATTTTAAGTACTTCATTCTGTGTTTATCACAGCTGGCAGTACAATTAATGTTAATGTGACATCCACCAGAAGAGTGAAAATTTCTTCAACCAATCAAATCTAAAAACTAATCATATTACAATAAAACCATTCCAAGAGCAGTACACCATCACTCACCTGTGTGTCTTCATGTGTTTCTTACAGTTAACAGAGGTTTTGAAGGTCTTCTGGCAGTAAGGACACATAAACGGTCTCACCTCACTGTGGGTGGACATATGTCTCTTCAGGCTGCCGTTAGTGGTGAAAGAGCTGTCACAGATGAGACACTTGTAGTTCTTGGTCCCCGTGTGCGTACGCAGGTGAGCTTTGAGGACGCCACTTGACACGAAGGAGCGGTGACACTGTAGACATTTGTATGGTTTCTCACCTGAGAGGTGAACAAATCAAATTAAATTCTTAATACCCTACACAAGAGTGCAATTTGAATTTTGGTAGACATCTCATAATAGGAAAATGACGTCAAAATCTTAGGATCAGCCTGACAGATACTAGTATGAGCAGTTCTACATGGCTGGACATAAATTTGACTCATTGACAATTTTAGCACACAGGCATAAATGAACACATGTACATAATGAACACACATACAAGCATTATAAACACCACAGGTATTACATCATTCTCCTACCTGTTTGAGATCTAATGTGTCCTTTCTGTTGACAAGACATTATTTAAAGTAAATGGCCATTCTAACATGCACCCATCCACCCACATACACATACAATGTGTGATTCCTACCTGTATGAGATCTAATATGTTGTTTGAGATGACTGGACTTCTTAAACCCCCGTGAGCAGTAGCCACACTTGTATGGTCTGTCCACGCTGCCTGCCTCCCCCAGATACTGGGTAAACATGTGGCTGTTCCTGGGGGGCTGCTGGATTAGACCTGTGTCTGTGATTAAAATAGGTTCCTGCAAGGGTACATCAGGAAGCTGAAGATCAGATTTCGCAGGTCGTCGCACAACCTTTCGCACCTTCCGCGTGATGCCTGCAGCCTCAGCATGCATGTCACGTAAATGTGAGCCCACATGGTTTCTACGATGGCTTGCTGTACGGAATTTCTTGTCACAATGAGGACAGTCATAAGGTTTAGTACCTAAAAGAAAAACATTTCTTACGTTTCCTCTGGAATCCATACATATTTGTGATGTGACGGAATTCACCCCACTAAAATCACTAAGAACTAGAAACATTTTGTCAAATATTTGAGAAAATATTTAGGTTTTAATTCACGACTGAAATCTGTCAACAGCAGAAAATAATTTTACAATACTAACTACAATCAACATCCGTATAATTACAAAAATTACAGATTAATCAATGAATCTCGAGGAGCTACATCCTAGGTGACTTTCATGATTATACAACGCCTGCACAAACATGTGCCCGCACACTCACCTGTGTGTAAGCGGAGATGTATCTTCAGACTGCCAGGAGTGGAGAACATCTTGTCACACACTGCACATTTAAATTCCTTGATTCCAGTGTGAGTCTTGAGAAATAAAAATATAAAGATCAAAACTTGAAGCTATAAGTAGTAGAGCCATACCCGGGCACCACCTGGAACACTGGTGAGGTAATTACTAGATAGATCTTTTCACTGGGGAAAATTATGAGTTTTACATATACTGTACTTCTTCAAGACCTTAATTCTTAAAATTGAGTGGTAAGAGCAAAATTGAAAAGCAGGCTACACTTTTGTTCTATTTTGTGCAGTGCAAACACCACAAAAACTAAATAAATGTGTCATTTTTATAATATCAAAATTATGTAGCTGAAAAATTCATTGATGACTTTTGCCCATTGAAAAGATTGTGCCATTACCATGGTCAAAACAGGTCTTGGGAGGTCCAGTTGTACACACCATTTCTTGATAATCAACTTAACTGATAAGGTTCATGTCTACAGCATGACATTACTGCTACAAAGGAAACTTGTGTATCCATTTAATATGAAGTACACATTGTTCATTCAAGTGATATCCCACAAATCAGATACCAATGATCTTCAGTTCAAAGGCAAATAGGTCATTTTTAAATACCTTCAGATGTGATGTGAGGGTGCTCTTCACAGCAAAAGAGCGGTAGCACTGGGAGCACTTGTATGGCTTCTCATGGGTGTGGATCCTGATGTGGCGGACCAGATCACTGGGCTTCTTGAACTCCTTGGAACAGTATGTGCACTGATGCCACCTCACGCCATTCACCTGGATATATCATTATCATATGTTATCATATATTATCATATATTATTGATCTGGAGGTGTGAGCCATAGGAATCAAGAGAGAGAGAGTTCATGTGAGAAGAAGAGGTAAAGAGAGACAAGAAATGGCAAAGGGGGTAATTATAGGATCTCATGCTTGAAAGACAAACCTACCCATCAAAATTCAATCACATACTTGTACAATATCAAAAACTAAAAACCATCACATCAAATATCATATTGTTAATACTTATCATGGTCATGACCTACTTTTCTGATGATGTGTTTCTTCATCGTCCCCGTGGCTGCGTCTCGTATACTCAGCGTGGTGGTCACTCCTGATCTGCTAGACTGGACAATGTTGCTGTGAGAGGCCCCCAGACCAGTGGACGTCTGACTGCCCTCTGTCCCTGTGAGGCCTGTACTCTCCAGGGCCTGCTGCAGGATGTCTGAGTTACTGTTGTCTCCTGTCATCATCTGGGGAATAACAGAATAGAGTTTGTCTATAGAATTTAATAATCTTAATATAATAGTGATGTGCTAAGTCTAGACCCCAGTCTCAGGGAGGCCTTTAATAGAAAATAAGTAATTAACATCAGCTATCATTATGCATTTGGTATTTATTTCCTTTGCCTGCATGCCTCTTTTTTTCATAAATCTAGCTCTTATTATAACAAAATATGGAATCTGCCATATCAAATGGATTTTCACTATTATCATTACTATAATTATTATTACTATTATCACTATTATTATTATTATTACTATAATTATTCTTATCACTATTATAATTATTGTTATTATTATATCCATCCATGTCTCACCTGCTCAGACTGCTGCTGTTTCTGCTGTTGCTGCTGTCGTTGTTGTTGTTGCTGTGACTGTTGCTGCCCGTTGTCCTGCGTCTGCTCTGACAGCTGCAGGAGATGCTGGATGACATCGTTGACATTTCTGGCAGCAGGTTCTCCCGAGGAGTCCTGTGGGGGACAGGCGTCTGTGTCCTGAGGTTAGACAGGATTTTAAGAATTTCAAAAAAATTCATGTGAAAACTCTACTGATATGTTGGAGTTGTTTCTCCTGACAGTTCTTACTTAGAAAAGCTATTCATCTTTGAAATATGAAAAATATTCAGAATATTCAATTTAACAAAAATAACTAATTGTAAATGACACTAATGATTCCCCACAGCTCTTATTTCTGAGAATGTCTGAAGAAGAAAAATGTCCCAACATGTGTGGGGATAGAGAATAACCACAGTTACAGAAATCAAAGCACCTAATGGTTTCTAAAAAGTGGAATACCGAAAAAAAATTGAAAAGCAGTAACGAATCATGTTCTAATCATCTTATGCATATTCTGAAATCTAATTAGACTGTTCTAATGTGTAGAAAATTATTTTTCAACAACAACAACCAAGTCTACATCCTACTTACCAAGATTTTCTCAGCATGGACTCTACTCATGTGCGCGTTCAGACTGCCCAGTTTTCTGAAATGACAGCTGCACTCCTCACACTGGTAGATGGGGCCCTCGTACTCCTCCAGGTCTGTGTGAACACGCTGGAAAACAAGACAACAATCAGGATGAACACCCATTAAAACACACCACCTGCCTGGCAAATGAATGGCATGATATGTCCCAGAGTGTGAGTACAGGATTGATTTTATTTAACCCCAATTTTATAACCTCATGAGTCCAGCATTAGTCAATTAATTTTTTCCTCTAATGTGACAACACCTGCACATTTTACTTTGTATAATAATTTTCTTTGAAATTTATGAAACCAAAATAATGTCTTCACCCTTTGGATTCTTTAGTAAATTACAGTGCATATACTGGAAGATAATTCTTGTTTATATAAGTAGGAGCATTTAGGAAAACCAATGTGATATTTCTTTCTCAAAGTAATACAAAATTTTTCATATTTGAAAGTCACAGCAAAGAAAGTGTATTGACACAATAAGCAGCAAGGACAATAAATTCTAGTTTTATAATCTTGGTAAATTTCCTGAACAAGTTTAAAACAAAACTTCAGACTTCTCTCCACTTCATCTTTTCAAATACTAGCCTTACCTGAAGATGAGCTCTGAGGTTTCCTTTCTGTGTGAAGGACACAGGACACAGGTGACACTTCCCTGAAGATGAGCTCTGAGGTTTCCTTTCTGTGTGAAGGACATAGGACACAGGTGACACTTACCTGAAGATGAGCTTTGAGGTTTCCTTTCTGTGTGAAGGACACAGGACACAGGTGACACTTACCTGAAGATGAGCTCTGAGGTTTCCTTTCTGTGTGAAGGACAAAGGACACAGGTGACACTTACCTGAAGATGAGCTCTGAGGTTTCCTTTCTGTGTAAAGGACATAGGACACAGGTGACACTTGTGTGGCTTGTGCTTCTCATGCTGAGCTATGTGTGTCTGCAGCGCCCCCTTTTGGTTGAAAGCTTTCTCACAGTGCGGACATTTGAATGGACGCTCCCCTAAAAACATAAGTCACCTCGGTTAAAATAATCAAGATGAACTTATTAGAGTATATATTTATAGCAATTCTTTCCCATTTCAAGTAAATCTCTTGGATGGTAAAAAATCATATTTTAATCTCATACAAAATGCTTACCTTTTCACCCAAATTTAATTGAACATAAAATATTAACCTCAGAAAGATACCATACTGGTTAACTAAACAAAATAACGGAAATAAATGATCCAGTCTTGCTCCATTTTAAAATAAATACTTTCACACATTCCCACCTGTGTGAATCCTGATGTGTCGTGTCAGCTGGCTGGGTTTCTGAAAAGTTTTGTTACAGTACTGACACCTCTGAGAGAACCCACTGCGGTCAACGTTCCTCTTATACTTGGGTTGACTGAACGTCATTCTGTGAATATGGAAACAGAAGTTCATAATCTCCTTAAATACTGTAACAAATTTTCTTCTTTCTTTCTTTATTATTTTTATTATTATTATTGTAACCTTTTCAATGGTCAGTAGTTTCAGTATATATCGTAATGACTACTCTTTAATTTTTCTGTGATGAATTATCTTAAATTTTCATTACATATTTCCAAACATGAACTGCAGTTCAATTTATGTACACCAAATAAATAAATAAATAAATAAATAAATAAATAAATAAATAAATAAATAAGGATTCTCCATTACGCCTTGTCCTAAGAAAGTAAAAACAGCAGAAGGCACTGTCTTGTCAAATTCTTTAATGTACATATTCTGTATGTAATTTGCTAAATTTTAATTTTCATTTCACTGCACAACTTCTCAATGAAGGCGATCCAGCTCAGAGTTCACATTTAATGTTTCTTTTCCTTGCAGAAATTCAGTGCAGCTGTAAACACGTTCAAGTTTTCTGTGTAGTTCAAGTTGAGGCCTACCTGACTTTAGTGTGTTGTCTCATATGATCTCTGAGAACTGACATCTTGTGAAATATCTGTCCACAATGTTTACACGTGTATTCAGCGCCGCCATCTTCCTCTTCTCTGTGCTCTATTAAATGTTTGTCTAACTGGTGCTGGAAATAACATGTGAATGCCGTTACATATACACAATCCCCAGTGTTGTTATTCTTTTCTTATCCTTTTCTGGTTGATGCCACAATGCTGTTAGTGATTAATCATTTATAAGGACTATTTTATATTAGCACAATGAGCTATTCCTTTATATCAAATACTAAATATGTTTAGTGAATAACAGTAATTTGGTTAAAGGTAAAGTACTGATAGGGCTTGATGATATTACAGATATAGACACAGAAAAAGTATGACACTCTTAGGAGATCTCAACCAAACAATCTTGAACAGTGAATCAATTTTATATCGATCCTCCACCAAAGTTAATATAATTATGCTTTCAGCAATCTTACATCAATCCTCAACCACACAACAACCCTGTTAAGGCCATACAAAGCCACCAGCACCAACCTGTGTGCCAAACTCGTCCCCACACTCAGGACAAATGAGGATTTCCTCCTTCACATGGACCAGGATGTGCCCCTTCAGACTGGTCAGCCGGTTGAACTTCTTACCACACTCTGGACAGATCAGATCCTCTGAGTGAGTCGCCATGTGCAGACGAAGGTTGTCCTCAATGTTGAAGGATGACTCACACTGGAAAAAAATGGAATAACAGTCAGTGAGGTGTACCTTGACTATGTGTGCACTATGTAGTGCTTTGCCTTTAACCATCCTCTGTTACAGTATGACATGCTAGAAGACATGTACTATTGCATATGTTCTTCATTTGAATAAAACTACTTGTTACAGTCAAATATGGTACTGATTGCTTCCTCAAAGTGCAATCATCAACATAAAAGGTTACAACAATTTTAAATGTTTTTGACCATTGCATATAATCTGTACACTTAATAAATGGCACTCTCTAGAAGATATTACAACCCGAAGGACAATTTACTGAAGATCTTTATGCAATACAATACGACACAATACAGGTAAAGATGCTGAGTAAATTAATTTCATTCAATTTCATTCAATTAAGACAACTCAACACCCTCTGACGGAGAAACTGAGAGAGAGGCAAATTTCTACCTCAGTACATCTAAAAGGCTTGTCTTCATCATGGGTCTTCATGTGGCGGGTTAGCTGACCCCATTTTGGAAACTGTTTCTCACAGAAGTCACATTGAAATGGCCCCTGGAAAAAAGATTTCTCTCTTGCATAAGTGCAACTATGACATATCTAGTAACTCTCTGAACTAATCTAGAATTATCAATAATTTGTCTAAAAAGAGAAATACATTTAATATTCTCATAGAAAGATATTTTATATTCTAGTTGCTAAATAAGAAAATATAGGCTATATCCTGCTTTGCTACAATGCTAAAATAAGCCCAGGAGTAAATTAATTTAATTCAGTTATTACAGTAACTTTCTGTTAAATCACTAGCAATAAGTGAAAAAAAAGTTTTTAAGTCAAGACAAAATAAACATCCCCCAGGTTACCTTGCCAACAGGTGGTCGTATCACGTCTGGCGCAGCTCTCGGCATCACGGTGGCTACGGACTGCTGCTGCTGTTGGGATGTCTGTACCTGGGTGAGCTGCCCCTGGGTAAGCTGGCCCTGGGGGTCAATATTCTCCTGTTCTATCTGGTCAGTCTGCACCAGATGACCCTGCTCCGTGGCCACCAGGGTGATAATATTGCTGTACACATTCTGGTCCCCAGTGCCTGGGTTGATGACATAAGCTGAGGCACCATCCACTGGAAGATACAGTTATATATATTATCTATAGATGGAGCCACTTTATGTTGTTGCTTGACCACTGTGTGTAGCATTCAATCTTTCTTGTTTTTTTTTTCTTTTCTGCTGGATGAAGGAGTAATAATAAAATTATTATTATAATTATCAATAATTTAAATCAATAATGCTTTCTGATGACAACTTAGATGACTATAAATCGTTTATAGGATTAATTAAGCCAAAGGTTATTTCTACGTGCCCTAAACTCATAAAAATCTACTTTTAATTTTTGTAACAAATACATGATAAATAAACACTAGTAAATAAATGTATATTTTAGCCAGAATTTAATATAACACAACAGAACTCAAACTTAGTCCATCACAAACTTACTTGTAGCCTCTTGCATCCCTCCACTGTTGATAGTGACATAGGTCTGGCCATCTACTGCACCGTCACCACTGATAACATACGCTTGGGTGGCGTCACCTTGAGTCATGTCACTGCCACTGATAACATACTGTACAGTGCCAGAGATGGCATCATGGTGCGTCCCGCCACTGATGACATAGGTTTGACCAGTGTCAGTGACTTCAGCACCACCGGCGTCACTCTGAACCACTGTTATCATGTTGTTGTAGGCTGGAATGGTCAAGTAATGAATTAAAATGTGTATTACAAAATCTCATCTCAAATTAGAGCAACGTACGTAAGTCTCTTAATATTCTTATTTAGCAGTTGTCTGCATGTTTTTAAGAGCTATCAATCTATGACACACTGCCCTTTGAATACTGATCTAAGTTGCAAATTATGTATATTTTCTAAAATTTCATTTTAACCTTAATTTATTGAACCTTTTACACAGCTCAAAATATTTACATCTAAACACACATTTAACTGTTTGAATTGTTTAATATTTAATTTGAAAAAAAAAAAAAAAGCTGGCAAAAACATGTTATAATGCACAGCAAGTGAAACATATTTTATTAAAGTTTTTTATGGGGTGAAAAAACTATTCAGTAATGTTATGCTCATTTGAATACTTTTGTGTGTTTGGGGGGGGGGGGGGGACAAAACTAGGAAATGACTCATCCGTCACATATCGATGGAAACCGTTTCAAAATTTCAAAATATTTACATATCGCATAACATGGCAGAATGACCAAAATGAGGAAGAGCTATCAACATTTTACAATTAATGAAAACGTGTTTATCACAAATAAAATATTATTTTAGTGGATAAAGACGGGAGTTTCGAGGTGGTCGTAGGAGGTGGTGGTTGTTGTGCATAGACACAGACCTAAGCACACACCACGTATTGGACGCCGTTAAAAATGGCGGATAAAGAGAAACGTTTCTCGCCATCGAGCCAAAGTAGCACTGTCAGCGACCAACAATACAAAAATTGCTTAAATTAAGACCCAGTTTGTGGTTTTCTGAAGAATTCTTCTTCCAAGTTCGTCAGTGGCGCTTAGTGTATTCCTACTTCCCAATATCACTGCGCCCAGTCGCGATACCTGCCACAGACGTCACAAGGCTCGGCGAAAAATGATTCCCTGCACAACGTTAAATTACAACATATCGTTGCAACAAATCCAACCTTATAATCACAATCAACTGGAGACGATTTGTGACTTTACCTGAGGAGTTTGGGTCTTCCATTTTCTCTGTATTTGCTGAAAAAGTGCCCGTTTTCCTTTGGAACTATTCTTTACAAATGGCGGACCAAGATCGATCATGACGTCATCGGGCAGTGTTAATGCACTAGACATTTTCTTATCTTGTGAAGTGGAAACATTCGACTGGAAACACCATAAGAAATCGGTTTAAGAGTTAATATTACCACTAACAGTTTAATAATTGTATCCTTTCGTCAATTATTTACAACGCTTTATAATGGATTAATTAAAAACGTTCCTCTGAGCACGCAAGAAAGTGCACAACCGCTTCTCAACTAACACACTGTAGATCTACTGTCGACATATTCTCTCCCTTCAACCCATAAGACGTTTGAAGTCCACTTGGCGGTCAAGGGTTGCAAGAAGGAAGAGGTCAATCATTAATTCTATTACTTAGGGTTGTCGTTGGACCACTTCCCAAAAGTGACTGACAACCCAGACAGCCTCAATAATCTGGCCCNTCCTTCGAATAAAACTACTTGTTACAGTCAAATATGGTACTGATTGCTTCCTTAAAGTGCAATCATCAACATAAAAGGTTACAACAATTTTAAATGTTTTTGAACATTGCATATAATCTGTACACTTAATAAATGGCACTCTCTAGAAGATATTACAACCCGAAGGACAATTTACTGAAGATCTTTATGCAATACAATACCACACAATACAGGTAAAGATGCTGAGTAAATTAATTTCATTCAATTTCATTCAATTAAGACAACTCAACACCCTCTGACGGAGAAACTGAGAGAGAGGCAAATTTCTACCTCAGTACATCTAAAAGGCTTGTCTTCATCATGGGTCTTCATGTGGCGTGTTAGCTGACCCCATTTTGGAAACTGTTTCTCACAGAAGTCACATTGAAATGGCCCCTGGAAAAAAGATTTCTCTCTTGCATAAGTGCAACTATGACATATCTAGTAACTCTCTGAACTAATCTAGAATTATCAATAATTTGTCTAAAAAGAGAAATACATTTAATATTCTCATAGAAAGATATTTTATATTCTAGTTGCTAAATAAGAAAATATAGGCTATATCCTGCTTTGCTACAATGCTAAAATAAGCCCAGGAGTAAATTAATTTAATTCAGTTATTACAGTAACTTTCTGTTAAATCACTAGCAATAAGTGAAAAAAAAGTTTTTAAGTCAAGACAAAATAAACATCCCCCAGGTTACCTTGCCAACAGGTGGTCGTATCACGTCTGGCGCAGCTCTCGGCATCACGGTGGCTACGGACTGCTGCTGCTGTTGGGATGTCTGTACCTGGGTGAGCTGCCCCTGGGTAAGCTGGCCCTGGGGGTCAATATTCTCCTGTTCTATCTGGTCAGTCTGCACCAGATGACCCTGCTCCGTGGCCACCAGGGTGATAATATTGCTGTACACATTCTGGTCCCCAGTGCCTGGGTTGATGACATAAGCTGAGGCACCATCCACTGGAAGGTACAGTTAATTATAAAACAATGTGTATTATCTATAGATGGAGCCACTTTATGTTGCTGCTTGACCACTGTGTGTAGCATTCAATCTTTCCCATTTTTTTTTCTGCTGGATGAAGGAGTTATATTTATTATAATTACCAATAATTTAAATCAATAATGTTTTTTGATGACAACTTAGATGACTATAAATAGTTTATGGCTTAATTAAGCCAAAGCTTATTTTTACGTGCCCTAAACTCATAAAAATCTACTTATAATTTTTGTAACAATATATAATAAATAAATACTAGTAAATAAATAAATGTATATTTTAGCCAGAATTTTATATAACACAACAAAACTCAAACTTAGTCCATCACAAACTTACTTGTAGCCTCTTGCATCCCTCCACTGTTGATAGTGACATACGTCTGGCCGTCTACTGCGCTGTCACCACTGATAACATACGCCTGGGTGGCGTCACCTTGAGTCATGTCACTGCCACTGATCACATACTGTACAGTGCCAGAGATGGCGTCGTGGTGAGTCCCGCCACTGATGACATAGGTTTGACCAGTGTCAGTGACTTCAGCACCACCGGCGTCGCTCTGAACCACTGTTATCATGTTGTTGTAGGCTGGAATGGTAAAAGTAATGAATTATAATGTGGATTAGAAAATCTCATCTCAAATTACAGCAACATCAGTCTCTTAATTTTCTTATTCAGCAGTTGTCTGCCAGTTTAACAGGCACATCAAGCTTTGGTCAAAGCTATAGTACATCAATCTGTGACACATTGCCCTTTGATCACTGATCTAAGTTGCAAATTATGTAATATATTTTCTAAAATTTTTATTCTTTATTTCATTTTATAATTTTTATTATTTTATCAAACATTTTACACAGCTAAAAAAATTTACATCTAAACACAGATTTAACTGTGTTATTTGAATTAATATTTATTTTGAAAAAAAAAAAAAAAAAAAAAAAAGCTGGCAAGCACATGTAATAATGCACAGCAAGTGAAACAGATATTTTATTTTAATTTTTATGGGGTGAAAAAACAATACAGTATGTTTATGCTGCACACAATTTATATACTTTTGTGTTTGGGAGGAGGGGGGGGGGGGACAAAACTAGGAAATGACTCATCCGTCACATATCGATGGAAACCGTTCCAAAATTTCAAAATATTTGCCTATCTCATAACATGGCAGAATGACCAATATTAAGAAGAGCCATCAACATTTTACAATTAATGAAAACATGTTTATCACAAATAAAATATTATTTTAGTGGATAAAGACGGGAGTTTCGAGGCGGTTGAAGGAGACAGTGGTTGCTGTGCATAGACACAGACCTAAGCACACACCACGTATTGGACGCCGTTAAAAATGGCGGATAAAGAGAGACGTTTCTCGCCATCGAGTCAAAGTAGCACTCTAAGCGACCGACAATACAGAAACTGCCTAAAATTGAGACCAAAGTTGTGGTTTTCTGAAGAATTCTTCTTCCAAGTTCGTCAGTGGCGCTTAGTGTATTCCTACTTCCCAATATCACTGCGCCCAGTCGCGATACCTGCCACAGACGTCACAAGGCTCGGCGAAAAATGATTCCCTGCACAGCGTTAAATTACAACATATCGTTGCAACAAATCCAACCTTACAATCGCAATCAACTGGAGACGATTTGTGACTTTACCTGAGGAGTTTGGGTCTTCCATTTTCTCTGAATTTGCTGAAAAAGTGCCCGTTTTCCTTTGGAACTATTCTTTACAAATGGCGGACCAAGATCGATCATGACGTCATCGGGCAGTGTTAATGCACTAGACATTTTCTTATCTTGTGAAGTGGAAACATTCGACTGGAAACACCATAAGAAATCGGTTTAAGAGTTAATATTACCACTAACAGTTTAATAATTGTATCCTTTCGTCAATTATTTACAACGCTTTATAATGGATTAATTAAAAACGTTCCTTTGAGCACGCAAGAAAGTGTACAACCGCTTCTCAACTAACACACTGTAGATCTACTGTCGACATATTCTCTCCCTTCAACCCATAAGACGTTTGATGTCCACTTGGCGGTCAAGGGTTGCAAGAAGGAAGAGGTCAATCATTAATTCTATTACTTAGGGTTGTCGTTGGACCACTTCCCAAAAGTGACTGAAAAATGTCTGGAAATATGAAGAGATACCGCAGACACCGCAGTGGCACATTGCGTTAGATGTGATTTTGATTTTTACCATCATGCAAAATAAAGATGGCGCCGCCCATGTGTAGCCGAAACCTCTTGACTGTTATTGTTTATCATAGTTTTAGGTAATTATATTGACCTTACTGTGAATTACAAACGCTCCAACATGTCAGATACGTGGAGTGACATCCAGGCCGTGAAGAGTAAGCAGAGCAGTTTGAGGGAAAAGCTCATGCAAAGAAGAAGAGAGCGAGAAGGGCTTCTCAAACAAATTTCTGGGGCACCTGCGTCAAACTCTTCTACTCTTCCTACGTCAGGTTCGTTCATTTGTACCAGTCAAGGTTCTAAGTATGCGTCTTAAAAAGAACAAACTGAAACTGAAGCAGTGACCTTCCTGTTTGTTTGCTAGTCTCTCTCAAAATGAAATGGTCTCAGAATTTGTTGGTCTGTCTGCCTGTCTCTCTCTCTCTCTCTCTCTCTCTCTCTCTCTCTCTCTCTCTCTCTCTCTCTCTCTCTCTCTCTCTCTCTCTCTCTGTGTGTGTGTGTGTGTGTGTGTGTGTGTTATTGATGCAATATTATCTGAAATGGACAAATACATTGGCAAATAACTGTAAGTTATTATGTTTTACTTTTCAGATCCAACCAAAGGAACAGTTGCCACTTCTACACCTACTCTGACATCACAAAGTCCTGCTGTGACGCCAGCGTCTGCTACGACCCCAAAAGTTGTGGAAAAAACTAAACTTGAGCCAGAAGTGGAAAGACAGGTGTTACTCAGTTTGCAAGATGTAGGGCTTAACCTGCCTGTAGAGTCTGTGGTCCTTTGCTCATCAGTGGAGAAAGCTCTTGAGAAAGAAGTGGCACTTTCGTCTTTGGATGATTTGTTGGAGAAATTTGCCACTCAGCAGTTGATAAGGTAAATATATTGGATAATAATTGCATTATTTAAAAAGTAATTTATACTGTTGATGGGACATTCTACATTCTTAAATTTTTATTAGTTATTTCTGGGATTTTTATTTTTTTTGCAGTTTGATTCAAGTGAAAAAAAACATGTTAAAGTATTTTAAAACTTAATGTTTATTTAACATATTTTCATTTTTTATAATGAAAAAAAATTTCCGTGTCAATTGTCTTTTTACAGATTTACTAAGGGTATGTGCACCACAATTTATATAAAAATATGTACTTTTTAATAGTGTGCAATATTTTGTTTTGCTTTCTAGTTGAAATTATTCTACTTTATGATATTTACAGTGATCACTTTGTTTTGTTTGTTTCATTACAGCATAAAGAGACAAGATGCTTCGACTGGCAAAGAAAAAGTTATCGTGGAATCCGTAGATCTTGCAAAGGTATAACATAAATTTAGCAAAACTGTAGTTATGCAAACGACTTCAACATTACAAAGGGAAGAATATGGTAACTACTTTCTGTAAAGTAGCCTTAGTTTTGTTGTGTGTCTATTTCTTTAAAATTTTATTTAAATACAGCTTACTTTTATTTGGTCTTTAACCTACCTTTAAATTTATTTTTGTTTATGTTGTAACAATTTCTGGTATTATGGCCAATGCAGAAAATTGTTTTTGTGTGATTGTTCAAAGTGCGTTAAAAGCTTTGGTCTGTTTCTTCATCCTGTTATTTCTCTCAAATCAAGAGGAAGCCTTGACAGTATTATACAGAATATTCAGTTGAAAGCTGCTTAACAAATAACATTTTCTTAACAGCTAGGGGCCTTCTCTGCTGCAGCAGATATTCACCCATCTGGGAAGAAGAGAAAAAGAGAGTAAGTGTTGGATTATAGTTGTAATTTGTTATGTATTCTATTTTCTAATGAATGATGTAATCAAGGCACAGATATTTATCAATACTGGAATAAACATGTTGAGAAGTGCCAGAGAGATTTTTCATGGTTTCTTGTGTAAACATTCTGATACTTGTGGCAATGAGTCAGTCATATGGTCAAGTTCATTTGATAAAAAGTAAAAAAAGTCAAAATGATAATTGATATTTGAAAATCATGCAACCATTTCTGAACATTTTGCTTTGAACAAGATATCAAATTTTAGTAATTTAGAGAACAAGGAGCCGAGGTCGTCCAAGCAGAGCAAGGGAGAGGGAGTCAAAGATGGCGGCATTGAGGTGAGCATACAGGACTTAATACAGAAACTAAGAATGAAACGGAAAAATATTTAATTTAGTTATATTAAAGTGTATTTGAAATGGGGTCATTATATTTGGAATTGGCTTTATCACAAGGCTTAGCACATCAATGAGATCAAAAGTATTTGTATTTATATTCTTTAAGTACTTATTAGTGCATGTGTTGACCATATTTATGTAAGACTATTTGATGATCTTGTTTGTTTTAGAGTCTTCTATCTATGCAATCTGCAAAAGAAAGAGAAAATAAAAAGATGAATGAAGAGATATTGGAACTTCTAACAAAGCCAACTGCTAAGGTAAGAGATAAGATATTAACGCTGGGTTATTCTTCAGTTAATCTTCAAAATGAAAGAAAAAAAAAATGACACAGGTCACCTCATGGGGGTGGGGGCTAAGGAGGGGTTAGCTTTGTAAAAAGAACTGAATCCTTTGTCCTAAAATGGTCTACTCTGTATATAAAAGGTCAAATGTATAACTCTTTATATACATACATATATTCGTTTTTTATATAGGTTAACTTTTATCTTTAAATATCTCAGTAATTTGATCAGACATTTGATCATATAGTAAGTTGTATTTCAAATTGTTTGGTATTATATTTGTCTAGGAACAGTCCCTGGTGGAGAAGTTCAAGTCACAAGGAGGTAAAAAAAAGTACCTGAAGAAAAGTACAGAAGACTCCATCAGTTTTTCATATTTTTTTTTTCATCAGTATGCAATATATGATATTGGTCTGAATTTCTCAATTAACACTAAATTATACATGGACTATTTGTTTTAGTGCAATATTTGTTTTAGTTTTATGTTTCAATTATAATATAAACAATTAAATGATAGTTTTGTTTTGTTTGTTTTATCACAGTATAAGGAGGCAAGGAAAAGAGTGTGTCTTTTAAGTCGTATTGAAGTGTCATAGATATTAAAACATGGAAACAACATGTTTATTTGAATAAAATAAATTCACAAATTTCCTTGCATGTCATTGTTTATCTTAAAATTTGTAACTTAGTGGTGGATCTGATTTCTCTACAAATTGGACCAGATCCTGCTCAAATATTCAGTAAATTAGGAAGACGGTAAAAGTTAATTTCACACTCTATGGCCTGAGGACAACACAAAATATAGATACAGCTGTATTTTTCTCCTAGTGGTGGTGCAGGAGTTTTGTCAGTATGGGACGAAGGAGGAGTGTGGAAGGCTCTCCAGGGAACCCTGCAAGAAGTTACATTTTAGAAAAATAATCCACAAGCATACAGATGGTGAGTGTTTTTAATGCAGACTTTTCAAACCACAGGTCTCCCAAACAGCCTACAAGTCTAGTGTGAATCAAAATTGACTAGAGTGGAGATGGAATCGACTAATACTGGAAGTGAATCCCCCAAAAACTTCTAAGATTTTCACTTCTGATTACACTGTATAGTTAATTTCATAAATGGATTATGCTTATGCTCATTATGTCCACTGTCATGTACAACTAGCAGTCATTTCTCAATATTTCAGAGTCTCTGGGTGATTGTTCCTTCCTGAATACCTGCTTTCATATGGAAACTTGTAAGGTAGTTAATGAGTGCTCCTATTTTAAATGATGTACTGTTGAAGTAGAATGTATGGGGAACCATTCTCCTTATATAGTATTTGTTTTTATTTTGTCAGTGAATGAAATTAATAAAATGCGGTCCTGAAAAGGTTTGGTTGTAATGAAAAAAAAAAAAAGCAATAAAAATTCGAAGTGGAGAGACTAAGGGACTTTTCTCTTCCTTCTTTCGGCTGAGTGCTGTGTCTATTATAATACATTTCCAATCCTCCTACCCTTCAGTATGTTCACTATGAGATAGACTACCCAGAGGTCAAGACTGTGACTGAAGGGGACAAGACACTGGTCAAGAGTCCATTTGGTGATGCTATTAAGATGACACCACCACAGGTAATGCCACAAGGACGGGTAATTTGAACTATTGTTCAATATAATATAATATAGTATATTATGGTACCAGACTAAGTGCTTTTATTAGTGGAGATAAGATCACACATTTACATATATCAATGAAACAGATCAACTTGAGGCAATATCAAACATTTTACATATATTTATAAAAAAGATCAACTTGAGAATAGAAAAAAAATCATTAATATTTCCCTCTCTCCAGTGGGTGTGCTGTGACCTGCGGACCTTGGACATGACCATACTAGGCAAGTGTTCCGTCATCATGGCTGACCCCCCCTGGGACATCCACATGGAGCTGCCCTACGGTACCATGGCCGACGATGAGATGAGGAGTCTGCCAGTCAAGTGCCTGCAGGACGATGGCTACATGTTTCTGTGGGTCACTGGAAGGTGGGTTAACTTTAACTGGTCATTTTGTTGAATGATGATTTTACAGTGCTTAATATTTTGAACTTTAATTGTTTGGTGACCTTATATGGTCAAGCCACTACTGGCCAGTAATTATTGTAGACAGGGTTCAGTGACTAGAAAGAACAACCCTTTTGGCCAGGAAAAAGTTCAGCTCTGAATCAAAATTTGACCCATACTGGATTCTATGTCATTTTGAAGTTGGGCCAAAAAAGAACTTCCCCTCCCTTTTAGATACACACATGTATTGATGAAGTGCAGGTGGTTTGTCTAAAGAACAGGCCTACCCAACTACCAGACTCGGCACCGAATAATCCCGAATTCACCGGTAGATCGGACCACACTACCCGTTTTCAAGGTGTGAGTCAGTACGCGTAGTTGGGTAGGCCTGAAGAAGCATAATCAGATGCTACAGGCTACAAGTTTCCCTTCTTAATAGGGGTGGGTCTAAAGCTATTTTCTGAGTCTTCCAAATTATCTTTGTTGATCCATCCTCCATTTTTGGCGGTCCTCCGACAGAAAAAATATGATACTCGTCAATTTCAACTTGAATATCTGACCGTCTTCCGGAAGACCCAGAAGACGGCCTAAATCTTCCCCTGTCCTAGGTACATGGAATCATTACCAAGTAAAATTCAGCTTTGTTCTTCCAGGGCCATGGAGCTGGGCAGGGAGTGCCTGCAGATATGGGGGTAAGGTGGGCTGCAGTGGGTTTGGGATATTGACTTAATTTAATTTAGTAGAATTTTATTGTTAAGTTGTGATGTAACTCAGTGGAACTGATAAAGGGGTAATAAGAGCAAGGAAAGTGTGTGAAAATGATGACCCATTTTGTTGCCAAATAAAACTAATCTAAAAATATATACATTTAGACATATTTTGAATTTGCTGTAAATTTGCAGATTAACTTAGTCTACCAGTAACACTATATATCAGTATCTTCCTTGAACTTTGGCTTTACCGAAATCATTGTTTTAAAAAAATTCCAAAATGCTTTTCCTATAACTGCATACCTAAGATTTAAATAGTATTATTGTAAAGTTGCTGTCAGTAAATATGAGCGCGTGATTTGTGACTCCATGTTATAGGTATGACCGAGTAGACGAGTTGATCTGGGTGAAGACCAATCAGCTTCAGCGTATCATCAGGACAGGCAGGACAGGCCATTGGTTGAATCATGGGAAGGAACATTGTTTGGTAGGCTGGAAGACAATTGAAAATAAAGTCATTGAGTGAAAATATGAAATAAACTGTTGTTTGTAAATTCTTTTGAAACTAACCCACAGCAAAAATTCTGAAAACTTTTCCGTGTAGCTATCAGGTGTTATGTTGGGCTGTAACACTCAGTTGACACTTTGTGACCTTTTAATTTGTTTGTAAAATATTGTGGGAGTAATATATTTTCTAAAAATAAATGTCAAGCTGAGATTGAGCCAAAGAAAACATTGGTAACTCTTCAAAATTCACAAAAAATTCATGAATATATGAGGCATTAATGATACAGTACAATTACTGCACACTGTTTATCTTTGTCACAAGGTTAAAAAATTATTGATTAATCAGTAATGCTATGTTTGATTAGAAGTTCTTATGATATTTTATTTCATATTTTAGATTGGTGTGAAGGGCAACCCCCAGGCCAACAGAGGCATGGACTGTGATGTTTTAGTGGCTGAGGTATAGTTCTCTTCTCTCTTAGCATCTTGAAATATGATTCTGCCTAAAATTAATATTGACATGTTGACAGACACTTTGCTGTGGCAAGTTAGAAACACACTTCACAGAATAGACCACTAGACTGAAAGAACAATGTATATTTATTTAGTCAGATTTATAATTTAATTAAATTTTCTATAATTGTATTTTTTGTCTGCTCTGACTACTTAAAATCATTCAAAACCTAACAACTTCCTTTAATTCACAAAAAATATTATTATTTGATAAAATGCCATATTTTAATATGCCATATGTTAATTGATTCTACAGGTGAGAGCCACCAGTCACAAACCTGATGAAATCTATGGCATCATTGAACGCCTGTCTCCAGGGACAAGAAAAGTGGAGTTATTTGGAAGGCCACACAATATACAGCCCAACTGGTCAGTTAAATATTAATAGGATGCTTGGGTTTTTGAAATATGATTTAACATTTTAGATGGAATATTTTACTTTTTTTATATGAAAGACACTTTCGCTGTATAGAAGTTATTTTCCCAAGATTATCTCACTTATTTGCCCAGTTGAAATAGAGAGACTCATTAAGGTGAAATATTTTTTTTACTGCTACTGTTATACAGTGATATTTGTTTTTGAGATTTATTTTTTTCAACCATCCTTTTTAAACATAATTAACTTAACCTTTTTACTTCATTTTATCTCATTTTCTTGTTACTGTTGGTTATATTTTTAATAGCCATTTATGAAAAACCTAAACATTGAATAAAATAGTGGTAAAATCAAAGATAATTTTTATTTTAAAACTATTTTTGACGTGAAGGCCTGACTTTAGGATCCTTCATCAAAGGACTTTGTTCACGTAACTGACTCAAGAATTTTTTTCTTACTGTCTTCAAACACTGATCAACCTGATTATAACTTAATCATATTTACATCGTTTTACAGCTCTGAATACCTGTAAAAATGTATGTTTGTTCTATTATTCCAGGATAACTCTAGGTAACCAGCTGGATGGTATCCGCCTTGTTGAACCAGACATTGTGAAGAGATACAAGAAAAGATACCCTGAGGGGTACAAGATGGGAGGAAACAACTCTTGATATCAACAGCACAACAACATTTGTGTCTTATTAGGTTTTTACATGTAAATGGTTATAGAGGACTGGAAAAATGGTGGTAAAGTTGAAGGCCGTTGAACTCGGTGGCATTTGTAAAGTTCATAACTGTTGACGTCAGTGACATTGCCAAATTTGAAGGTCTTTGATTTCAGTGACATAGGTGTTTTACCTCAGTGAAGTTGGAGTTGAAGGTCAGTTACCTATCTGGTGGTAGTTGATGAAACTAACATTGTAGTAAAGTGTCGTCTTTTCAGTGGAAAATAACCACGTTCTTCTAATGCGAGGGAAACAATTTAACTGAAAGCATTTAACACTGAGGTCATGCAGTGGAAACACTATGTTGACGTAATATGTTAATGTGTTAGGAGTTGGATTACTCCTAAATAAAAGTAGAATACTTAATGAGTGTAAAGAGCATAATGTTACTTATAAGGTAGCATGTCAAGCACCCTGTAATGGAAGGGAGGATGCTGTGAAAGTGGTACATTTTATATACTAGATAGGCTCCTCTGCAGGCTAGAACTAAAATATAATTTTTATGAAATAAAAATGCAGTACACTTCAGTACAAGTGTTGTTTCTTTTCACTCATCATCTACACTTGAGTACACATGGCAGAAGTGGGATGTTAAAGAGGGTCTTACAAGTTGTTATGCAGCCTTTGTGTAGGGGAATATGCAATGTTCAAGGTTTTTAATATATTTACAATGATAATGGTAACATTTTGACACTAATTTTTACCACAGATTTATGTTGCTGTAAATATATCACCATTAATGGTAATGCAGTTGTTAAGGCATTCAAGTTTTAATTTTAATGAGGTAGCAGTGTGCAGTTTCATTTTTATGACAATTTCTATTAAATACTTGTTTTATGTCAAAATGATTATAGATTCCTTTGGATGTATCTCAGTGCTTCTTGTCGCATCATTCTTTTATGTTTTTAGTAACAGGACACACCTTCCAACACATATGTACGGACTTGATACCTATAATTAAACCATAATTAAAGCAAAAATGTATTAAACTAGAATAATTTTATTCAAACAAATGGTCATACACTACATTTTAATAAAGCCAGGACCCTGTTTTTATATAATCATCATTATTTTTACTATTGATAAATAAAATGAAAAAACAGATGTTTAAGGAAAATTTTGAAAGAAACATGGTAAAATGATAAAAGCTTTGAAGTGGTTTTAAAATCCGAGAACAGAGCAATAAAATTAAATGACGCTCAACGGAGGACATCAGAATATTCAGAGGACTCCTGTTATGCAAGTTAAAGAGCTGATTTCAATACATCTTTACCAAGTGGAATGTCTGAATGTTTTCAATTAGGGAAATATCCAGGATAGACAAAACACATTAAGTATAAGGCATAGACATTGACAAGACATTAATGAATGAAGTATGTGTGAACTTTTGGAATCTCAGTTAAAAAAATAAGTCATGATTTCGCCATAAATGCCAGTGAGTCCTTGGAACTCCTTCAGTAGTGTCTTGTGTACCGAGGTGTGATATTAATCTGTTTATAATTGATGCATCATAATCTATTCTAACTGTTAATTGTATACAAAATCGTATAGTGTGGTGGATTACAAGTACATGGTAAATCGACCTTTTAGCTTTTTGAGCAACATTAAAAATCATTTTTTGACGTTTGTTGCACAATCCGCCATTTTTTACCCTGCCACAACATTAGTATCAATTTTAGAAAGACGAGAACAATTTTATTCAATTTCATTTAGTGTCGACAGTCAGATAAAATCAATGTTGCAAAACTTTCAATATCTGACAATCTTGGCGTGATATAAAATCGCTTGAGAAGCATTACCCAACACGGTGTGGCCAATGAATGCATGATAGGTAGACTGGTCGATGCACCAAAACTGTCCACGCAAGTCATGGCACCTGTCGACAGCTCTTTTGGCTGTCATCCAAGTTGATGAACAATTCAAACTAAGTAGAAAGACACTGTTTTTTTTCAAGAATCCCTTCAAGGGATGTCTTCCATATTTGGATCTCCAGAGGCAGTGATATATAATCATTTGATGTCTACTTCGGCCACTTCAGCTGCTATTTTAATTTTAAAAAGTTGATTTTCAATTCCAACTAAGTAAAAAGGAAACCGTTATTATTCCAAGAAGAATTAAAATGGATGTATTCCACATAAGGACCTCCTTAAGCAGTGATAAATAATCCACTAATGTCTACTACGGCATCTTCAGCTATTATTTTAATTTTAAAACGTTGATTTCCAATTCAAACTAAGTAAAAGGATCCTGTTATTATTCCAAGAAGAATTAAAATACATATCTATCACATAAGGACCTCCTTAAGCAGTTATAAATAACCCACCGTTGTCTACTACGGCCACTCCAGCCATTTTTTTAACTTTAAAAAGTTGATTTACAATTTAAACTAAGAAAAAGGAACCTGTTATTATTCTATGAGGAATAAAAACGGATGTCTTCAACATAAAGACCCCCATAAGCAGTGGTAAATAGTTCACTGTTATCCACTAGGGTCACTTCAGCAGACTTTAGACATCGTGTCGGAAGAAGTTAAATATCATATTTTGCGCGTTGAACAGTAAGTAAAATAAATTTATCGTATAAAGTTGAACGTATGATGTAAAGTAGAATGCAATTATCGTGACTCCAAATCCAATTTTGATTTCAGAGTTAATTGCATCATTTTATAATGCCAATGTTTTGATAATTATAATTTACTGAAAGAACAATGTATATTTAATACGTGTAGATATTTGAGAGCAATACTTTGCCTGTGTGTACGTTTACAGAATTGTAAACTGGAAACGACCATTGATGAAGAACATTGGTTTCATTTTATATCACAAGGCAAGTCACGTGTAATAAGAAAAGTCTAAAAGCGTGGGTTTGTTTAAGCACAGCCTGGACTTTTAGAAAAACGATTACAAAGATAAAATCTAAGTTTGAAAACACATTTAAGATGAGAACTCTGTTTAAATGAAGCATTAAGGGTACTGTAAGAGTTTTGGATCATCCAGATACCGAACATGTTTTTCCTGCATCTAATTGTTCAATAATGCACCTACATTCGTGCTGATTTAAAACAATAAAAACTACTCGATGATATTAAATATCAGCGTTCATATTTCTCGTTGCTATGTATAAGCATAAGCAGTTCAAAGCTTTTATTGTCAAATTAACGCCTTTCTATTTTGAGGTGAAATAATAATTGGTATTGGGCGTAACTTCATCCATAAACAAGATTTCATCACGAAAATTCGCATAGTTTACCAATGGTCTATGGGCTTCAATCCCTTGCCGACATTTTGGTTTAAATGGTTTTGTTATAGAGTTATGAGCTCCTTATTACGGATTTACATTTAACAAAGGCATTAAATTGCATTATTAATAATAAAATCTGAACCGAGGCCTTTAAAAAATCGCTGGCAGGGTTTTGGAGTACTAAATGGTGTCATGAAATTGGCACTTAAACGCCATTTGTGGAGGCAAAGGAAAATTTGACACACCAAAGTTTTTATTTTTACCCCACAATTGCTATTATGACGTCACCCATAACATGGTATTTGTATATGTTAATAAATTTAATCAAAGAACACAGAAGAGTTATCTGCTATCCAAAAGAATGTAAGTTAGTAAATAAGGAGCTTTTGGCAAAATCTTACAGTATCCTTAACCTTGAGAAGGGAAAATTATCCATGGCATTTTTCATAAAAAGGGATCGTGCCTTATATATACATATGGCATGCAACTTGATCAAAAAGTTTTTTTTTTATGATGTGTCAGATGTGTCTAAACATATTAGTGTCATCGCTGTGCACTTTCAGTGTAACGATAAGTGGAAAACTATTTGACCTTTTGTCTTCCAACTTACAGAACTAATGTTAAGTCATAAAAAAAGGTTGAGTTCGACAATCAGATTGATCGAACCATTTTTCCAAGTTTGTCCGTTTTTTGCTTGCTTTTAGCATATTTTTTCCACCGTTTTACAAATAAAATGAAAATAGTTTTACTTTTTGTCTGCAAATTTACAGAACTGATGGATGTTCATGAAATACAGGTTGAGTTTCAAAATCAGCATGATCAGACACTTTTTCCAAGACTTTTTACAGCATATTTTATCTATCGTTATTCAAATAACTGCTTGCTTAAAAACTTGCAGGATAGATTCATAGAACAAATGTTCAGCTCAAGTTCGAAAATTATCTTGATCGGTTTATTTTTGATGAAGTTATGCCCATTTTGTATATAAGTGGTTTTTCTCAGATTCAATTCTTACGTACAAGTAACAAAAATCTGCATTATATTTTCTTTCAGGTTTCCAAATGTATCAAATGACAAGTACGGGCACTATGATCTTCGGTGGATCCCTTCTGTTAACGCTGATTGCTGTCGGTTCAGGGCAACCAGCAAGTAAGCATGGCCAAAAGTTCAAGTTACATAAACTAAGTATATTGTAACTCGTGGAATATTTCGATGTGCCATGGGCTATCTTCATCAGTCTCGTCGCGACACAGGCGCGGTTGTGTTGATCGCCCCTTCCCACCTTATTACTAGAAGATCATAGTACATATAAAGCGGTGCGTTTCTACCTTCATCTTTGTTTATATGTCTTCTTTTATCTCTCTGGCTCTCATTTTACTTTCTTTTTGGTAGTGCCTTGCCACTTTTCCAGTCCATGATTTGTAATTTCCTTGTACTATATTATCCGTTATAGCTGTGTGGATTGTTTTCTTCGGATTTGTAAGTAATTTCTTCCTTCATTTAGTCTTTCAGTCACCCCCTGTGCTCTTTAACTCTGATGTTCACCTTTCTCTTCGACCTTCCAATATATCTATGGCCACAACTTTTATGCCACTGTTCTCTTGGTTGTGGAGTAATTTGCCCCCAAAATTGGAGCTGGTTTGTGGGTAAACTTAAAACTGCGCGTATATATTGTCTCATGTACAAGCCAGTGACAAACGAATAAATAAATAAATAAATAAATAAATAAATAATACTGTTGATGCTGAAGATAGTAATAAACACACATGTAATAATAACAATACGACTACCGTGCATATTTTAATGTGTGTGTATAACTGTTTTTATCTAAATGTATTAACACTGTATACTAATAAAGGTTTATCCAGAAATTATATATATAAATATATTACTTCTAAAAATGTGGTCCCAACTTCAATCCAAAGTGCCTTTATTTACATTTAATAGCATGTCAACTGTGAACCGTTTTAAGAAGTGTTTTGTATTCCAAATGCAATTTTCTAACATCAGAAAATACAAATACCATTTATTCAAACTATTTCCATATTGATTTCCATAAAAGTAAAATGTCCATATCATTGAAAAGACATCGCCGACTGTATGCCGACAGCACAAGGGCTGACAAATTCATACAAAGTTAACATGAGAACGTGGCCTTAAACGGTGCTTTTCTTTTAGCGTGCGTCTAGCTACTTACTACGCACTTCAATTACATCTTGTAGGCGGTGAAGCAAGCTTCCAACAACATTAATTCTGTTTTGTAGGATATTGTTCCATTCTTTCTGAAGAGCTTGACTGAATTTTTTCCTATTATTAAGGAGTTGATTCTTCTCTGCACCGTGCACTCCAAATAATCCCCTGAGGGCTCAAAAGGGTTAAATCTAAGCTTCAAAAATGGTTATTCCATCCGCAGGTTCCGCAAGGTATGAATTACCAGACGAGAAATAGACAATCGAGAAAAAATGCCACCTAGAAAGGTACAGAAGGCACAGGAAAGTAATTATGTGTTTAAATGGTCAGTGAGTTGTTGTGCTGCCTCTTTGTCTATTATTTCCAGTACATCGTCTACCATGTACATTTCATCTGTATTGGTCGTCCATGCTTAACCAAAACTGGGTTTACAGCTCTGGTGATCATGCGATAGCTCTACCTTTCATATTTCCCATAAATAGGTTAGCCCCCTTTACACTGGGCGGCGTCTTTTCAGCTTCCTTTGTTCGACAAAGAAACTGGCATCGCTGTGGTCGTACGTAGCAACGACAAGCATCTCTTTGGATGCATATTGAATGCTCAGTTGTCGGCACGTAAAGTATTATTTTTATTCTCAAACGGGTCCGTATTACGGGACGTAGTAAGGACGCCGTCCAGTGTAAAGGGGGTTTTAACTACTAGAGGGAGGGGGTGTCTGGACAACGCATTCTTGTGGCGAATGTTTGTTCTAACACTCTGAAGCTTTGTTCACAACTATCTGAATTTGAAGTAGCTAATTGACAAAAGAACATCTGTGTCACTCGGCGACTGATGGCCGATAGTCCATCGAGGAAACTCAATGTAAGTAAAAATTCACTTTGTGATAAAATGATGAATTTTTTAACTCGCACGTAAAGTACGTAAAGTATGATGCTATTGTCATTTTAAAGAAAATACAAAAATGCATAAACCCGTTTAATTTTATCTGATTTAAGGCGAGTAATACTTTTTATAACATATCTTTTATGTGAACATGATCATTTAAATTTCAAGCTTTCGAAATTAAAAAAAAAAACAACATCTAAATCAACGGCAATAAAAACATTAACTTGCAGGTGAAGTGAGATTGGTGGGTGGTTCTCGAGCCGGTGAGGGAAGGGTTGAGGTCTTCCATAATGGCGAATGGGGCACTGTCTGTGATGACAACTGGGATGTCAACGATGCCCGTGTGGTTTGCAGAATGCTTAGTTACAAGTAAGCATTTCGTTAATTTTATGTTTTATTTGCTGCTCATTTAAATCATTTTTGATATTTGAACATATGTCACCCATTTAAAAATCTGATTATGTCAACTGTTTTGATGTCATTTACATATTCCAGCCCAAGTTACTCTGTTCCCTTTTCTGGCGCTCATTTCGGCCAAGGTACTGGTTCCATTCTTATGGATAACGTTGCCTGCTCTGGGAGTGAGACTTCTATCAAAGATTGCAATCACAACGGTTGGAGCTCACACAACTGTGCTCACTCTGAGGATGCTGGTGTCAGATGTGTCGTTGCAGTACCTGGTGGGTGAACTACCCCATTTTATATAAAACAATGTGTAAGCAAACAATTAGTGCTTATATGAAAATTTACTGATCGTTATCCACAATTCCTTGCAGTTGAAGTGAGATTGGTGGGTGGTGCTAGTGCCGGTGAGGGAAGGGTTGAGGTCTTCCATAATGGTGAATGGGGCACTGTCTGTGATGACAGCTGGGATGACAACGATGCCCGCGTGGTCTGCAGAATGCTTGATTACAAGTAAGCAAATCGTTTATGTTTAATTTACTATTAGTACTCATATTATATTAGTGAGAGCAACAGGGAAGGGGGGGGGGCGCTATGCACGGGGCGATGTATGCGGGAAGTGATAGACTACCGGTAGTTGATCAGTTGATCAGGAGAGGAAGACAGGTGGGTGGTAGAATTTAAACATTATCAATTAAAAACGTCGAAACAATTTCAAAGACTTTGCCGTTCTGTCCAGTTGTTAAAGTTTTGTGACCGTGTAAAAACAAAGAAATTTTATCAAGTTTCGTTCTAAAATATGAATTGTTAGCACCCAGGACACTCTCAATGGACAAATGAAAATCACGATACTTCAACTGCCTTAGTGGGCACTGGAAGAAAAAATGGCGTATAGTCTCAGGTTTCCCACAAGAGCAGTTTTGAGACTTCACCGAGTTCCAGTTGTGGTTATATAGTTGGGATTTGAACAATAGATCTACACGTGCACGGTTTAGGTATTTTTCATTCTTTCTTTCTAACTTTAGGTTGGTTGTAGATAACGAACCAGGAAAGAGTTCACATTTCAGAGAATGCTTAAGTGACGCGACATTTAGGGTGTTCTTTTGTTCAAGACTGAGACTATTCCATGAAGACACGAGTAAGTGTTCAGGACCCTGGAAAGTAAACTTAGCTGGGTTAATGTAATCTCTGTACGAGGACTCTCATGTTTGCGAGATTATTGGATTTTTAAAAGCCAAGAAATCTCTGAGGATATATGTAGGAGCCATGTTGTGATGGATGGAGAACATAGCCTGTTTTGCATGCATTATTCTACTGTTTTCCAGAGTAGACCAGTTCAATTCTCTAAGTACCTTAAGTGTGTTCGAACCAGGCAGAGCACCCAAAACAAGCAGACCAGCTTGATAGTGTATAGAAGCAAGTTTAGAAAGATTCCTTTTAGTTGCTGAGTGATAGAGGATGTCGCAGTAATAAAGCAAAGACAGAACGTAGGCGTTGTATTGTATGTTCAAGTGCCTAGATCGGAGCCTGTGAGACTTAAGAGGGTTCAGGGCCTTTTGGGCTTTAGCAGCTAAATAACTTATATGCTCGGCACATGACAGTTTGGAATCTAGTACGAATCCGAGATGTTTGTGGAATGGTTTCCGGGGTATCATTAAATCACATAATATTATATTTCCGTATTTATTTGCTGTGACCTTGGTAGAGAATTACCCTAGGTTCTAAATTCCGGTATTGCCAGCTCGATCTTGATTTCATATATAACCCATATCACCAATACCAGGAGTAAAAGCGACTCCATCACAAGGTATATTAAACAAGCTAGCTTTTACGTTGCTCTGACATTCAGGGTATAGAGAATATGGCCTCACAACTCTTATCAGGTTTGAACTCAAGTTTCCACCTGGAAGACCATTCCTCAATCTTTGAGAGATCAGATTGAAGTGTATCGTGTTACTGGCTGTCAGAAGGAATAGAGGATTGAAATATAGACGTGTCGTCCGCATATAGAAAACAATCTGAAGAAAGGTTGACTGCTAGATCATTTATATATAGGAGAAAAAATAGAGGACTGAGAATGCTGCCTTGTGGAACACTAGTATTGATATAAGATTCTTTGGAAGATTCAGATAGAGTACCATTAATACGGACATTTACTTTTCTATCGCTCAGATAAGAGGATAATAGTGACAGTAGATTGCCTTTAATACCATAGGCTGACAGCTTATATAGTAATAAATTATGCGGAACTTTATCAAAAGCGGCCGAAATGTCCAGAAATCTCCTCTTACATCTCGGCCCTTTCTGAAATTAGATCTAATCATATTTTGAATTGCCAGTAATTGGTGTTCAGTGCTATGACCCTTAAGAAACCCAGATTGTTTTTCAAACAGTAAATTATTATTAACGACATGATTAATCATCCTCTTGTATATATTTTTTCCCAATATTTTTGATAACACGCTTAAAAGGGACACTGGTCTATAGTTGACACATGACAGTTTCCTGTCTCCTTTCTTATAAATCGGGCAAATAAACGCCATTTTCTACAGGTCAGGGTAGGTGTTAGTTTGAATTATATACTTAAATAATTTACCTAATGGTTTCACAACAACATCTTTGCTTAGTTTTAACATTTTTATCGTCACCGAGTCCGGAACACATGCCTTCGAGGCATCCATATCACCAATTACATGTATTACTTTGACCTCAGTATCGTTAACATCAATTTCTGACAAAATTGCATTTGTTTTATCGGGGAAGTTGACTAATGTCACTACATGAGAATGGTATCTCTCTGAAAAATAATTTAGGAAAACTTAGGCCTTTTCTGAATCTGTGTTCGCAATTTGACCAGTCTTATGGTTTAAAAGGGTTGGAATTGACGTAATGTATTTTGAATCCATAAGGCTTTTGATAGTCGGCCAAAATAGTTTACGACCATTTCCAGGTTTTTCATCAAGGCTTTCAATTAGACTCTAGTAGGGTATTAGGAGCCTCAACTGTCACATTCGTAACCAACCCTGGAATATTAGTAACTGTCAAGTCAATGCATGAGGATGAATCACCCTGTATTCTGGTTGGTTCTCTTACTAGTTGGTCCAGACCATAGGTTGAGAACAGATCATGTAGCAGTTCACCTGCAACATCATCCCTTCCACCCAGGTACCAGTTCCGTGAGTGAGCGTTAAAGTCCCCGTTGATGATTATTCCGTCAGATCGGGCTTATTTGGCTCTATAGAAACAATCAGATAATTGGCTTATAAATTGGTTTCTTTCATTTGCAGTTTGGCCTGGAGATCTGTAAAAAATTCCAGACAAAACTTTTCATGTTTTTAAACAGCTTAAAAGCTGTAGTTCAATCCAAAAGCAGTCCAACCCCGTGTTACATAAGTCCTCTCTTATTTTATATATCATGTCATTTCCCACATAAATTATAAAGCCATGTCATTTTTCCGAGTATAAAGGACTATGATAGCCATCACTGAGAATAAAATTGGAGTCATTTGACTCTCTAGTCAGAGTCCGGCACCCCTTGACCCTCATGTAGTTAATTTGACTCCTATATAAGGGTCAAATTACCCCACTACCAGAGCTTTAGACTCTCTTATCAGAGTCAATCACCCCCTGGCTCTCATGGAGTCAATCTGACTCTAAAATCAGAGTCAAATTTTCGGGGGCCAGTGTCTGGCTGACCCTTTTCACCGACTCTTTTCGCTCGCTGGACAGTAAAGCCCCCTTTACACTGGACGGCGTCCCTTCTGCGTCCAGCAGTTCGGCCCCATTTGAGAGTTAAAGAATTATAATACTTTACGTGCCGACAACTGGCCGATCATTGAGCATTCATTCTTATACCAAATCAATGCTCGTGCCTCCTTATTAAGACCACAGCGATGCCAAATTTCATAGTCGCAGAAAGGACGCAGAAAGGACGCCGTCCAGTGTAAAGGGGGTATAAGCTACATTTCATTTCTTGTGATGGCAGTGAGCAGCCGGCGTGGAGAGAACAGTTTTCATCATCCTTTGTCAGTATAAACATTACTTTATAGGCCATAGTTGGTTTTATGCATGAACAAGTAGTTTTCTGTGTGTTTCTGCATGCAGAACTCTTGCACTTAATTATTACTGGCCCGGGCTTTCAGTTGCCACACCCTTTATGTGATATGTTGGTATAAAGGTCAGCAGGTTTTGTTTCCAGGTTGTAGGTTTGACTCACTAATGCATGTCAGTGGAGAGGTACAGTGTATGCTCACTCATTGGTATATTTGTGGTAAGTACACCACATGTGACCGCATGGCCTAGTGGTTAGGGTAGCCGTCTCTGGAGCGGGAGGGCGTGGGTTCGAGCCTGTCCCGCAATAGTCTGAGACGGACGATACTTGCCGTCTCTCCCCTTGGCACTGTTGATGTTGTTTCTGTTCATGATGTGTCAAGGAGTCAAAAATTCCTTAATATGGGGTCATGGTAAGTCTTTTGTAGAGATAATTCAAGGTATGAAGGGATATGTGAATGGAGTCAATTGTGACCCTCCTGCGGGGTCTTGGATGGCATTTCTTCATCGGAGTCAACTTGACTCCAATTGGGAGTTATTTTAGGCACCACTGCTGGACTCCAAGTTTGGAGTCACTTGGATTCCGATTTTATTCTCAGTGATCTATATAGTATTTACTAGTCAAATAATTCTAAGAAATATTTCCCGCTTCACACAGGCTCCGGCCCCCAGGCTACGTATATTTGAAAATAGTATTTTTAAGTCACTCCCAGGCTTAGGCTTAGGCCTTGGGTTGGGATGGACGTCACCAGAGAGATGAAGTTTGAATCCTGGCAGTCTTATATATTCAAAGGCCAATGTTTGGAAGGGAGTTATCTGAACTGTAGGTAGTCCAGCAGCAATAAGTATATAGGTTTTCACACAGTATAATTTAGCATAAAATTGCGATATACAACAAAGTAACAGTTGTGAGGACAGATTGCCGCCAGCGACACACGTAAAAAGGCCTGAAGTAGCCGACCAAACTTTATGGTATTGGGTTACACTTATTGGACGTACCAAGTGAAGGCACAAAATTACAATGATAAAGATGAAGAGGGGAGCGGTTAACGGTTTCATAAATATTAAATAAGGGAACTTCAGAGGTGTTTCCTTTTTCCTAGCCATAACTTTGAGACAGCAAAAACAACCAACCGTCACCCTCCACTGAATCAAGCTAATCCCCATTTAAATGGTACACCTCCAATGATACATCCGTCCTCACCCCTACGCCAAGCCCCTCCCCCGCCCTGTCTCGCCCCCCCTTCACAATATTTAAACAGTTAAAGAACATGACTAAATGAGACAGAAAAACACAGTAGATAATACTCTTTGTAGATTGTAGAGTGACGATTGAGATGAAACAGTAAAAAGAAAAGGCAATGTTTGGGATAGCTTCGGAGTTAAATACAGCTATTAGGTATATGAACGAAGTGGTAAATGGGCAAAAATGCTTACAAGAAAATCTTTTTATTGTAAATCCGGCTGTAATAAAAAAGTACAACAAGCCGGCCGGTGCATATGCTTCAATGACATATTTGTGACTCTTGAACATTATAAAACAAACTATACACATGGCCGTCTTGTAAACTTTGTCAGTATGCCTGATATGCTTATACAGTTAGACAATATTAAAAACTATACACTTATATCTTGTGAATATAGCCTGAATTCAATGATTCAACAACGTCGCACCACAGTGTGAAAGGCTATTCTCCTCGGAAGGTAACTTTAATTACATGTAATCAGGCCCTGGCACAAATAAATAAATAAATAAATAAATAATAATAATAATAATAATAATAATAATAATATTCAAGCTCAAACTCGTTGCAGCGATCGAGGCTATCAAACAGCATTCCAATATAAAGGTACACTAGTAATTGCACAAATAAATAAATAAATAAATAAATAAATAAATAATAATAATAATAATATTCAAGCTCAAACTCGTTGCAGCGATCCAGGCTATCAAACAGCATTCCAATATAAAGGTACACTAGTAATTGTAAAGTAACTAAAAAAGAAAGGCATGAACTGGTCAGGTAAACCCTTTTTTATCGTAAATCCGGCTGTGATCAAAAGAGGAGAAAAAATATTTTCAACAAGCCGACGGGAACATATGCATTCAATAACTATTTATGGTTTATGTATAGGGACATCAACAACCTAACTATACACATGGCCGTCTTGTAAACTTTGTCAGAATGCCTTATATGCTTATGCAGTTGGAAGTATATGCAAACGAACTATCCACTTATGCCTTGTGAATATAGTCTGTGTTAATGATACAACATCGGCGCACCACAACTTCTAAAGGCTATTCACCTCGGACAGTAACTATAATTACATATTTACGTGTTATCAGGCCCTGGCACAAAGAATTCCAAACTCGTAGCTGCGATCGAGGCTAGCAAACTACATTCCAATACAAAAATGCACTTGTAGTTGCGAATTAACTGAGAAAGGTATAAACTGACCAATAGGACTAATAGGGTTAAATATATGTTCTCGTCAGCTACCTGGCTACGGAGCCCGCATAAGAATGGTCTTCTTGAGTACTGAGAGTTCTGGTTAGCAATCAATAATACCTGGTTTAGCTCTTCCCTCATTTTGTTTTGTTTTCGGCCCTAAGGTTAGCAATTTTCTCGCCCATTTCATTGCTAATGAACTCCAGGTCAGTTTTCAGATCTGATAGGGGGCTGTTGATATGGCCTTGTCAACCGCCACTCTTACCTTTCTATCAACGTTTTTCATCTTATCGTCGGGATGTTCCTCGAAATCAATCAACATGTTTTACATTCTTATCTCAAATTGACTAAAGAAAGCCAGAAACCGAGGGTCGGAAAAGATGTTACCTGGTGTATCACATGACGGACTGTTGTTATCGGGTGTGTTTGGCCTACCTCGCTTGGTGCCAGGTTGACATATAGGACTTGACTGTTCATCGTCTGACTGTCGTCCATCTTGGTAGTTGACAGTTGAGTTAGTGCCCCTCAAAAATTTAGTGATTCACTGCTACAGCTGCTAAGTAAGTTTATCGACAGAACGTGCACCTTTAAAGGGTGATGTCACCTTAGCTTGTCGGATTTACTAGAAATTTCAAGCTGCCCGCGTCAACCTACTTCCACCAAGTACACCATGACGTCACGTACTCGTGTGATCTGCAGAACGCCCGGTTACAAGTAAGCAAATCGTTTATGTTTCATTTACTATTCATTATACAACAAAAATATGTCACCTGTTTAGGCATTCTGATTATGTCGAATAAATTGATGTCATTCATATATTTCAGTCCCGGTGGTTCTGTTTCCTTTCCTGGCGCTCACTTCGGCCAAGGCACTGGCTCCATTCTTATGGATGACGTCGCCTGCTCCGGGGGTGAGACTTCTATCAAAGATTGCGGACACAGTGGTTGGGGGACACACAACTGTGCACACTCTGAGGATGCTGGAGTCAGATGTGTTGGAGTGACACCTGGTGGGTGAGCAATGTGTTTTCTACAATTAAGCGTTTGAGTCATGCTCCATAATGTTATTTGGATTATTGTCCAGATGCACACGAGTGTATTTCAATTATTGGAAAGGTAAGCGTTATGCGAAAAGCTAATGAAATATGAAAGATGATTAAGTCAACATGAAAGTATAGCAACGTTTCCACACATTTTATTGCGTATATTACTCAAAATGAACTCCAAAACTATCCTGTTTTCTATCAGTAATGTGCAATCAAATAGTAAGTACCTACGGGAGACCGGGGCAAGTTGCCCCCCCCCCCCCCCATCACTTAATGCAAAAGTAACTACAGAATAAAAAATGATCACATCATTTTGTAAAGTGACCGTTTCTAATAATGCTAAGAAAGCGTTGGTCGTAAAAATGTTTTATTTAGGCGGTGAGTCTCAATGAAAGACTTCTGCATCTTTAAGTAGCTATATTAAAGAGATTTTAAAATCTATTTTCATAGGCCTTTGATCAAATATATAATATGTATAGGGCATCAAGCTGAAGCTCATTCTTTTAGTCTCACAGAAATGTATCATCGTTGTTCATTCTAACACCAAAAATGGCTGTGATCCTTTAAACTAAAAAACTGTGCAATATTTGACCCCCTTGACTCGGGCAAGTAGAACCTTCATATAGACCACAATCCTTTGGGCGCAACAGAGCTACAGAGCATTGTTAAAACAAAGTCAGTGGTTTGTTAAATTGCCAGTTTAAGACTTAATTGGATAGTTTCTTTTAAAATAACAACAACAACAGCAACATCAAAGAATTATAATTCCCTTTTCATTCATTAAAAACCTGCTTTGTATAATTATAAGTTTATTATAAATAAAAAAAACACGTTTAATAAACAGATATTTTGCATCTTGCAACACAGACAACGTAAGGTACAGAAACATCAATGGAACTGCTTCCTTTGAACTACTTATTCATCAAAGACTCTCAAAAATTAATTTGATAAAATAAAAATGTGTAGAAAGGTATTGTATGGCGTTTACATGGGAAACTTACTGGAAATTCATATAGGGTGACAACTTGCCCCCACCCAGGGGCCAACTTGTCTGTGGCCGAGCAAGTTGGACCCCATGACGTCAATTGCGTTTTTTGTCTATTTGTGAACCATCTGGCATTATATTAAAAAAAATAACGGCGTTGCATACGTAGCTAGGTTCATGGCGTTTACATTAAAACAGGCTTTGTTACTCAATCCGAGTAGGCTCTACAAGGCCAAAAGTGCCTCACTGGGCCAATTAGCACCAGTGTACCATGAAAAACTGACTCCCCCAAAATGTGACTCCCCAGTCAGATTTTCATTGTGAAAATGTGACTCCCCAGTCAAATTTTCATAATGAAAATGTGACCCTCATGAAATTTTGACTCCCCGCAAAAAACTTTATAAATCTTATTTTATTTGAGTATATGACTTTTATATTGTGGTATGCATAAAGGATAATACATTTGCACTTTTTGTTAGTTTGCAGGTGAAAATTTTAATGAGAAAATAAGAAAATTAAAAATGTGTATTTTATCACCCGATGACTCCCCTATTAAAAAGCTTTTTATTTGATATTTACATGGTGATCATTTCAACATTTGTCCCTTAAGTATACTTTATGAAGAATATATTGGAAATATATGAAAGTTTGGTGGTAAAATATTGGGTGCAAAAAATGAAAAAAATACTTATGAAAAATCTTTGTATTCACACCCATGGGATTTTGGACTCTCATGAAGAAAAGGCACTATTTTATATTATGTCACCATACCATTGTTTTCCACATGGTTTGCATTGTGACGTATATTTTGTTAGTATTTAAAAGTTTGGTGGTGAAAATTTTGTTGAAACTTGATAATTTTTGAAACAAGTATTAATCTTACTGACTGTAGGATTTGGACTACCATAGCCTTTTCATAGGAGTCATTGGGTGAAAAATATTTTTATTTTCTTATTTCCTCATGAAAATTTTCAATTGAATTATGCACACCTCAAGATAAAAGTTATTTATTCAAATAAAATAAAATTGATAAAGGTTTGTGAGGGGGAGTCAAAATTTCATGGGGGAGTCAGATTTTCATTATGAAATTTTGACTGGAGGAGTCAGATTTTCATGGGAGTCAGATTTTCATGTTACACCGGTATCGCTTATATGAAATTTACTGATCGTCATCCACAATTTCTTGCAGTTGAAGTTAGATTGGTGGGTGGTTCTCGTGCCAGTGAGGGAAGAGTAGAGGTGTTCTACAACGGTGAATGGGGCACTGTCTGTGATGACAGCTGGGATGACAACGATGCCCGCGTGGTCTGCAGAATGCTTGGTTACAAGTAAGCAAATCGTTTATGTTTTATTTACTATTCCTTATACACAAAAAATATATTACCTATTTAAGTATCCTAATTATGTCTAATAATTTAGCCATTTATATATTTCAGTCCCGATGGTTCTGTTTCCTTTTCTGGTGCTCATTTCGGCCAAGGTACTGGCTCCATTCTTATGGATGACGTCGCCTGCTCAGGGGGTGAGACCTCTATCCAAGATTGCGGACACAGCGGTTGGAGGAATCACAACTGTGCTCACTCTGAGGATGCTGGGGTTAGATGTGTTGCAGCGACATCTGGTGGGTGAACAAAGTGTTTTCTTCAATGAACTATATAAGTCATGCTCCATAATGGTATTTGGATTATTGTCCAGATGCACACGAGTTTAGTACAATTATTGGAAAGTTAAGCGTTATGCGAAAAGTCAATGGAATATGAAAGATGATTAAGTCAACTTGGAAGTATAGCCACGTTTCCACACATTTTATTGCGTATATTACTCAAAATGAACTCCAAAACTATCCCGTTTTCTATCAGCACTGTGCAATCAAATAGTAAGTACCTATGGGAGACCGGGGCAAGTTGCCCCCCCCCCCCATCACTTAATGCAAAAGTAACTACAGAATCAAAATTGATCACATCATTTTGTAAAGTGACCGTTTCCAATAATGCTAAGAAAGCGTCGGTCGTAAAAATGTTTTATTTAGGCGGTGAGTCTCAATGAAAGAATTCTGCATCTTTAAGTAGCTATATTAAAGAGATTTTAAAATCTATTTTCATAGGCCTTTGATCGAATATATTATATGTATANATAATGCTAAGAAAGCGTCGGTCGTAAAAATGTTTTATTTAGGCGGTGAGTCTCAATGAAAGAATTCTGCATCTTTAAGTAGCTATATTAAAGAGATTTTAAAATCTATTTTCATAGGCCTTTGATCGAATATATTATATGTATAGGGCATCAAGCTGAAGCTCATTCTTTTAGTGTCACAGAAATGTATCATCGTTGTTCATTCTAGCACCAAAATGGCTGTGAGCCTTAAAAAAATAATAAATAAATAAAAAAAAGTGCAATATTTGTCCCCATTGACTCGAGCAAGTAGAACCCTCATATACACACAATGGACAATAGAAGTGTCACCCCTACTGAACCAATACTTTGGGGGACATAAATGACTGTGAAGTGACATGCTCCTGGTATTATTTTATTAACATCATATTTCACAAAAAAAAAAAAAAAAAAAAAATAAAAAAAAAAAAAATGAGAACAAAATATACATTCTACCAAGATATGCAGTTTCAAATCCAAAATTAGTACTTAGTGGCATAATTGTCTGAGGCGTTCAGGGCTTATGCTGGCCCAAGCATGAAACACGGAATCTAACAGAGTTTGTCTGCTGGCTGGACGGGCATTTGTGAAAAGTTTTGACATATCATTCCACACATTTTCTATTATGTTTGCATCCAGACTCTGGGGCAGGCCACATAACCCTGCGAATGTCCTGTTGGTCAAACCAATCATCAACTGCACTGGGTCTGTGACAAAGAGCATTGCCATCCTGGTGAATAAATGGATAATTCCTGTCACCAAACATGTTAGTAATAGATGGTAGCAAGCCTGACTCCAAAACAGCGATATATTTCTAGCGATTCATGTTTCCATCAACCACTATCAATTCGCCCACGCCATGGATGCTAATGCAGCTCCACACCATGATGGATATGCTGCTCCGGGTTCGGAAATTCAGTGCATGTGGTTCAAATGCTTTACCAGCAGTTCGCCAGCATCGGACCCGTCTGTCATCAGAGGTCAGACCAAAGCGACACTCATCAGAAAAAAAAACTATATAGGACCAATTGTCATGGACTGTCCAGTTCCAGATCCTGTTGGCCCTTGTTCACTCTACGTTGCCTGTTTTGTAACGTTATAAGAGGTTTCAGTCTTGCTACCTTGCTTTACACTCTCTGAGCATGTAATCGACGCCTAGCAGTTTTCACATACAGATTCTTATGTGTGAAATTGTTCCACTGTGTCATCAACTGACAAGCAATGACAAACCTTGACAACCTGGAAATCGGTCGTCGGTCATTAGTCGTCGGTCTTCACGGTCAGTAGTTTTTCTTGGACGACCCATCAGAGGCAATTTGATCCAGTGTTTCTATACCGAGACCAGACCCTCTGCACGGTTCTGACCGAACAATTCAACTCTATCGATATTCTGACATTGCTTATATTCCGCCTCTTCAGGTTAATGACTTGACGTCTATAATCGTTAGGTAATTGCCTGTATTTTGCCATATTGGAGGAAGACAGGAATAACATTTGCTGTACATGTACAAAGCTAACAATACAATTATATGGTACAGTGGTTTTATATTCATTACAAGTAGACCAGGCATTATAACTACCCAAGATCTGCCTACTTTGATTACTCCGATTTAGGGGGTTGACACTAGTTCACAATCCTTTGGGCGCAACAGAGCTACAGACCATTGTTAAAATCAAGTCAGTGGTTTGTTAAATAATTGCCAGTTTAAGACTGAAATTGAATTTCTTTTAAAACACCAACAACAATAGTAACAACAACAGAAAATATAATTCCCTTTTTATTCATTAAAAACCTGCTTTAAATCATTATTAGTTTATTCTTAATTAAAACAAAACACGTTTAATAAATACATATTTTGCGGATTGAGTAACAAACCCTGTCTAAAAAAAATGCAACACATACAACGTAAGGTACAGAAACATCAATATAACTGCTTCCTTTGAACTAATTATTCATCAAAGACTCTCAAAAATTAATTTGATACAATAAAAATGTGTAGAAAGGTATTGTATGGCGTTTACATGGGAAACTTACTGGAAATTCATATAGGGTGACAACTTGCCCTGACCCAGGGGCCAACTTGTCTGTGGCCGAGCAAGTTGGACCCCATGACGTCAATTGCGTTTTTTGTCTATTTGTGAGCCATCTGGCATTATATAAAAAAAATAACGACGTTGCATACGTAGCTAGGTTCATGGCGTTTACATTAAAACAGGCTTTGTTACTCAATTCGAGTAGGCTCTACAAGGGCAAAAGTTCCTTACTGAGTCAATTAGCCCCGGTATAGCTTATATGAAATTTACTGATCGTCATCCACAATTTCTTGCAGTTGAAGTTAGATTGATGGGTGGTTCTCGTGCAAGTGAGGGCAGAGTTGAGGTGTTCTACAACGGTGAATGGGGCACTGTCTGTGATGACAGCTGGGATGACAACGACGCCCGCGTGGTCTGCAGAATGCTTGGTTACGAGTAAGCATATCGTTATGTTTTATTTACTATTCATTATACACAAAAATATGTTACCTATTTAAGTATCCTAATTATGTCAAGTAAATTGATGTCATTCATATATTTCAGTCCTGATGGTTCTGTTTCCTTTTCTGGCGCTCATTTCGGCCAAGGTACCGGCTCCATTCTTATGGATGATGTCGCCTGCTCCGGGAGTGAGTCCTCTATCCAAGATTGCGGACACAGTGGTTGGGGGACACACAACTGTGCTCACCATGAGGATGCTGGAGTCAGATGTGTTGAGGCAACACCTGGTGGGTAAACGATGTGTTTTCTTCAATTAAGTGTTTGGGTCATGTTCCATAATGGTTTTTGGATTATTGTCCAGATGCACACAAGTTCAGAAAAATTATTGGAAATGTAAGCATTATGCGAAAAATCAATGAAAAATGAAAGACGATTAAGTCAACATGAAAGAATAGCAACGTTTCTACACATTTGATTGTGTATATTACTCAAAATGAACGTCAAAACTATCCCGGTTTCCATCAGCAATGTGTAATCAAATTGGTAGTGCTTACGGGAGACCGGGGCTAGTTGGATCCCGGGGTAAGTTGCCCCCCCATCACTTTATGTAAAAAGTAACTACGGGGTAAAAAAAAAAAAATTGATCACATCATTTTGAAAAGAGACCGTTTACAATAATGCTAAGAAAGTGTCGATCGTAATTAAAAAAAATTTAGGCCGTGAGTCCAAATGAAAGATTTCTGCATCTTAAATAACCTTATTAAAGAGATTTTAAAATCTATTTTCATAGGCTTTAGATCGAATATAGTACATGTTTAGGGCATCAAACTGAAGCTCATTGTTTCTTGTTTCACAGAAATTTATCATCGTTGTTAATTCTAGTACCAAAATGGCTGCAAAATGGCTGCAATACAAAAAAAAAAAAAAAAAAAAAAAAGTGCTATAACTGACCCCCTTGACTCGGGCAAGGAGGGCCCTCATATATACCACAATTCTTTGCGCGGAACAGAGCTACAGACCATTGTTAAAACAAAATCAGTAGTTTGTTAAATAATTACCAGTTTAAGACTGAATTTGACAGTTCATTTTAAAACAAAAACAGTCGCCAACTTGACTGTGGTGGGGCAAGTTGTACCCCATGACGTCAATTGCGTTTTTTGTCTATTTGTGAGCCATCTGGCATTATATTTTGAAAAATAACGACGTTGCATACGTAGCGAAGTTCATGGCGTTTACAATAAAACAGGCTTTGTTACTCAATCCCTGTTGGCTCTACAAGGACAANGGCTTTAGATCCAATAAAGTACATGTTTAGGGCATAAAACTGAAGTTCATTGTTTCTTGTTTCAAAGAAATTTATACATCGTTTTTAATTCTAGTACCAAAATGGCTGCAAAATGGCTGCAATAAAAAAAAAAAAAAAAAAAAAAAAAAAAAAGTGCTATAACTGACCCCCTTGACTCGGGCAAGGAGGGCCCTCATATATACCACAATTCTTTGCGCGGAACAGAGCTACAGACCATTGTTAAAACAAAATCAGTAGTTTGTTAAATAATTACCAGTTTAAGACTGAATTTGACAGTTCATTTTAAAACAAAAACAGTCGCCAACTTGACTGTGGTGGGGCAAGTTGTACCCCATGACGTCAATTGCGTTTTTTGTCTATTTGTGAGCCATCTGGCATTATATTTTGAAAAATAACGACGTTGCATACGTAGCGAAGTTCATGGCGTTTACAATAAAACAGGCTTTGTTACTCAATCCCTGTTGGCTCTACAAGGACAAAAGTTCCTTACTGGGCCAATTAGCCCCGGTATCGCTTATATAGAATTTACTGATCGCCATCCGCAATTACTTGCAGTTGAAGTTAGATTGGTGGGTGGTACTCGTGCCAGTGAGGGAAGAGTTGAGGTGTTCCATAATGGTGAATGGGGCACTGTCTGTGATGACGGCTGGGATGACAACGATGCCCGTGTGGTCTGCAGAATGCTTGGTTTCAAGTAAGCATATCGTTTATGTTAATTTACTATTAATTTTACAAATAAAAATATATTACCTATTTAGGCATTCTGGTTATGTCAAATAAATTGATGCCATTCACAAATTTCAGTCTCGATGGTTCTGCTTCCTTTTCTGGCGCTCATTTCGGTCAAGGTACCGGCTCCATTCTTATGGATGATGTCGCCTGCTCCGGGAGTGAGTCCTCTATCCAAGATTGCGGACACAGTGGTTGGGGGACACACAACTGTGCTCACTCTGAGGATGCTGGAGTTAGATGTGTTGTAGCGACACCTGGTGGGTGAACAAAGTGTTTTTTTCAATGAAATATTTTAGTCATGCTCCATAATGGTATTTGGATTATTGTCCAGATGAGCACGAGTTTATTTCAATTATTGGAAAGTAAGCATTATGTGAAAATCAATGAAAAATGAAAGATGATTAAGTCAACTTGGAAGTATAACCACGTTTCCACACATTTTATTGCGTATATTACTCAAAATGAAGGGCAAAACTATTCCGTTTTCTATAAGCAATGTGTAATCAAATAGTGTTTATTTGAAATTTACTGATCGTCATGCGCAATTCTTTGCAGTTGAAGTGAGATTGGTGGGTGGCTCTCGTGCCGGTGAGGGAAGGGTTGAGGTCTTCCATAATGGCGAATGGGGCACTGTCTGTGATGACAGCTGGGATGTCAACGATGCCCGTGTGATCTGCAGAATGCTTGATTATAAGTAAGCATATTGTTTATGTTTCATTATACAACAAAAATATGTTACCTATTTAGGTATTCTGATTACGTCAAATAAATTGATGTCATTCATATATTTCAGTCCCGATGGTTCTGTTTCCTTTTCGCGTGCTCATTTCGGCCAAGGTACTGGTTCCATTCTTATGGATGACGTCGCCTGCTCCGGGAATGAGTCCTCTATCAAAGATTGCAGACACAGTGGTTGGGGGACACACAACTGTGCTCACTCTGAGGATGCTGGAGTCAGATGTGTTGGAGCAACATCTGGTGGGTGAACAAAGTGTTTTCTACAAATAACTATTTGAGTCATGCTTCAAAATGGTATTTGGATTATTGTCCAAATGCACACGAGATTAGTACAGTTATTTGAAAAGTAAGCACTATACAAATAACCAATGAAATATGAGAGATAATTAAGTCAACATGAAAGTATAGCAACGTTTCCACTTATTTGCTTGCGTATATTACTCAAAATGAACACCAAAACTGTCCTGTTTACTATCAGCAATGTGTAATCAAATGGTTAGTGCTTATTTGTAATTTTACTAATCGTCATCCGCAATTCTTTGCAGTTGAAGTGAGATTGGTGGGTGGTTCTCATGCTGGTGAGGGGAGAGTTGAGGTGTACCATAATGGTGAATGGGGCACTGTCTGTGATGACGGCTGGGATGTCAACGATGCTCGTGTGGTTTGCAGAATGCTTGGTTATAAGTAAGCAAATCGTTAATGTTTCATTTACTATTCGTTATGAACATAAGAATATGTTCCCTATTTAGGTATTCTGATTATGTCATATAATTTGATGTAATTCATATATTTCAGTCCCGAAGGTTCTGCTTCCTTTTCTGGCGCTCATTTCGGCCAAGGCACTGGCTCCATTCTTATGGATGACGTCGCCTGCTCCGGGAGTGAGACCTCTATCCAAGATTGCGGACACAGTGGTTGGAGGAATCACAACTGTGCTCACTCTGAGGATGCTGGAGTCAGATGTGTTGGAGCGACATCTGGTGGGTGAAGAAATTGTTTGCTACAATTAACTACATGTATTTGAGTCGTGCTCCATAATTATATTATGGGTATTTTCCACACGAGTTTAGTACAATTATTGAAAAGGTAATCATTATACAATAAGGCAATGAAATATGAAATATAATAAATGTAACCGAGTGTTTTTATATTTTCATAGCATGGCAACAATGACAAAGATGATTAGTTTTCCAAAAGTTGATTCAGTTCAATTGTGGCATATAAAGTCATTTAACGGCCTGACGGTGGCATAATGAGGTATATAAAAAGAAGGCATATGTAAGAAGACGGCATATATAAGGCCCCTGAAAAAGTACAAAGCGTATATTTTAATAAGGCCTATTTCACAAAGCTACATACATACTGAAACTGAACGCGAGACAAATATCAGTATTATTAAACAACTACTAGTACTTACGCTGTCACAACAAGATAGCGCTTGTATTCTCTTATATAATGTTATCTTTTATAATGAATAACTCTGAATATGATACATTATAAGTAAATACCAACCCTGACAGACAACCTCGGACAACGCCTAGAGCACACAACCGCACACAACACACGTGCCTCTTGGTCTATGCACACACAGTGAATGAATACTAATACAAGGTCAAATTCACCACGTGACTTCCGAAGTTACCGGAAGTTACATAAACTGCTAAATATTCATGAGTGTCTTGGCACTTGTCACATAAAGTCAACATGAAAGTATAGCAACGTTTCGACACATTTAATTGTGTGTATTACTCAGAATGAACGGTAAAACTGTCCCTTTTACAGTAAGCAATATGTAATCAAATAGTAAGTAGTTATATGAAATTTTACTGATCGTCATTCGCAATTCCTTGCAGTTGAAGTGAGATTGGTTGGTGGTTCTCGTTCCAATGAGGGAAGAATCGAGGTGTTCCATAACGGTGAATGGGGCACTGTCTGTGATGATGGCTGGGATGACAACGATGCCCGTGTGGTCTGCAGAATGCTTGGTTACAAGTGAGCATATTGTTTATGTTTTATTTACTATTCATTATACACATAGAAATATGTTACCTATTCAAGTATCCTACTTATTTTAAATGATTTGATGTCATTCATATATTTCAGTCCCGATGGTTCTGTCTCCTTTTCTGGCAATCATTTCGGCCAAGGTACTGGCTCCATTCTTATGGATGACGTCGCCTGCTCCGGGAGTGAGTCCTCTATCAAAGATTGTGGACACAGTGGTTGGAGGAATCACAACTGTGCTCACTCTGAGGATGCTGGTGTCAGATGTGTTTCAGCGACATCTGGTGAGTGAACAAAATGTTTGCTGCAATTAACTATTTTAGTCATGCTCCATAATGGCATTTGGATTATTGTGACGGTCCTATGCACGTGGAAACACTTTGAATATATTTGTAAGAAAAAAAAACAACTTTAAGCTTAATATATAAGACAGCACAACATTATAGCAAAAACGTTAATAAAATGCAATTAAAAGTTCAAGACAATTCCTTGCAGTTGAAGTGAGATTGTTGGGTGGTTCTCATGCCGGTGAGGGAAGAGTCGAGGTCTTCCATAATGGCATATGGGGCACTGTCTGTGATGACAGCTGGGATAACAACGATGCCCGTGTGGTCTGCAGAATGCTTGGCTACAAGTAATTATACTTTCATTTTTAAATGTTACTTTAAAATATTGTTTCCTATCTGTTTTAAATATCATTTCTTTTAAAGCCTCCATGGAATGATGATGTCCTTTTTTTAAAGATTATTTAGAATGAATCTTGATCAATTACTTGTTTTTGTTATGATTAGAATAAATATTGATATTAATTATAACGGTTATTAATTGTCCGTTTCGTAAATTCTGTTTGAATTTCTAACAAGCATTTCGAACATTTGGTTTAATAAAATAACCAAGCACTTACTATACTGTATATATTTATGAAAGGTTCTTAATTTTACCAAAAGCGCGTGTACATGCCCTAAGTAACCAGTATGTAACATGGGAGGGATCTTCTGCGAATCCCCTTTGCCAATGAATTAATTTCAAGTCTTAAAGTACTGCTTAATTCCGTTGGAGCTGTTTCTTGTTTGTGTGTATGTGTACGTGAGTGTGAGTGTGAGTGCGTGTGTGTAAGAGATAGAAAGAGAGAGAAACAGAGAGAGAGAGAGAGCACATTAAGAGACCGTTTCCATAACCCTGTCGCACCAGCTGGATCGATCTATCTCATCTGGGATTCTTCCTAAATTGCACCCATATTAATGGTTTAAATGTCTCGCACACCCTTTGGTAACTGAAAGTACTTGGGTTATAAGGTTGGAAAACTATGTGCTCCATGATGTTGTTATGTTGATTTGCGAGGGTGCGTGTCAGACAATAAAGCTGGTTACATTGACTGCGCCTTAGCTAATACTATGAGTCTGCTAATACTATGAGGTTATAGGAAGGCAGTCTATGTGCATGTCTACTTAGATAGTCATTTTAGTTGCAACAATGAAAGTAGTATTTTTTAATTATTATGTCTTGCTTAAATGCAGCATGATTGCTTTTTGCAGCGACGCTGGCGCAACTGCAGTCGGTAGTGCTACGTTTGGCCAAGGTTTTGGATCCATTCTTATGGACAACGTGGCTTGTACTGGTAGTGAAGGATCCCTGAAAGAATGTCCCCACGAAGGATGGGGATCGCACGACTGTTCACACTCAGAAGATGCTGGTGTCCGGTGTTTGCCATAAGAACATATCCCCAAAGCATAGTAAGGGTTCACCTGGACAAAATAGCAACATAACTTATTTTTCCTCTTGCACTGCCTTGAGGTTTTTAAAGTAAAAAAACAGATAAATGCCTACATTTAAAACATGATAAATCCAAAATTGCATTTTCCGTGAATATAAACACTCTGGCATAGATTACCTTGCCTCTTACCACTGCTTTATCCTAACTAAACCCCTGTTTATATGCATATCTATACTTTTTATATATCCAAAATGGCCGCCAACAGTTAGCGGAATAACAATTAAATAACAATTCTCGCTACAATTGGCTAATATATTCAAGTATTTCGCTTTTCAGACATATTGTAGAGCTCATTACACAAATAAAATGTTTTTCTCTGTCTTAGGTACTATTTTGTTTGCAACTTTTGAAATTATAGGTATATATGGTTTTACAAAATGGCTGCAAAATCCAACAGATAATTATAAATGCCATTAAAAAATTATCGTAATACATATATTTTTTTCACTTCTGGGTCACAGTCGGGGTAAAGAAATAGGCAAGTACAAGGCAAGATGATACAATCAAATAACCAGAAATGTCACACTAATGCTAAGAAACAAGTCAATACACTCTTAAAACTGATCAGTTAAACTTTAAGGATCAACAACTGTTCATTTTGGCCCCAAAATGGATTTTCCTGGGGTAAAGGACATTGTTCCCATACTAACTTATGGTTTATAAATCCATTCCGACATTCATAGTTAGTCCATGTTTTTTTCTAAAAAGTTTGATTTGTTTGTAATATTCTCCTTAGATACTATAACAGAGTGTAGCCATCTATGTAGGTCACGTGATGTGATAGCAAGCACAAGTTTCAAAATTATTGCTTTAACCACCATTTTTGTCGTAAGATAGAATTTTATTAAATCTCTATGATTTGTGTTTCTTGTGAAATATGGATAAAATACGCACATTTGTTATCCCTTTAACCGAAAGTACAGGGTACGTTCAGTATAAAACGATTCACTCTGTCAATATACATCCAATAAATATTCCGTTGAGCTAACTGTATCAAAACCAGTTGGTCCAAACGGCTAACATTTCTGTTAGTTTTAAACAATACATTCTCATATCTAGATATGACTACTTCAATTACAACCGTTTATATACGGTTTATATACAGTTGCTTTCAATAAGTTACTGGTAACTGACCAAAATGGTTAATCTTAGCTGAATTGATTGGTTCAAAACAATATACTGGATTCAGTTATGATCTACCTGTTCATGTTGTGTGATGGAAATGTGTGGTTCAAAAGAACTGAATTTAAGGCCCTAGGGGCAGAATGAACAAGAATGCCGTCGGAAATTTCTGGATATTCGAAGAGCATTCTAAAATTTCTGAGTGCATTCCAAATATTTTTACCCATTCTCGTGGCTGGCCCGAATGTTTTGCTCATGCTCAAAATTTTCGAAGTGCATTCCAAGTGGAAAATTATCGAATGGCATTTGAATAGTATTCTAAATGCACTATGACTGCATTCTAAATATTATCACGGCATTCCGACAGCATTCGAAACATTCTGATAACATTAGAGGAATATTCGAAAAGGGGGGGGGGGGTTCTCTGGTTCCTTCACCAACCTAAGTGAACATCTTGGGCAAGAGTTGTGTCTCCTCCCCCCCAACTCTGACAAGGGGTATGTGCTTATTGCCTTGCTGGCGGCTAAGTATAGGCCAAAGGCTGTACATGTATATGGAGTGAACCCCAACAGCAAATCCACGATGGAGCAACGACAGGTGGCATGTTGATATAGGAGAATTAACGTAACTGGCAGCTCGTGCACGCGACCTGTCACCGTCTTTCTTTAGTTTTTTCTACTTAAATTCTGTCATTGACAATGTGTTTATGGGTTTCCGTCAGGAACTTTCCAAACTCAATGTGGTTTGTGAGCTTTTAGTTTTGCACAACTTTCCTGGAGACAAATGGTGTACAGACCTCCAGTCGGAGAGCCAGATGCAACCGAAGAAACATTTTATTCTGAAAGGATGCAGCAGTTGCCCCCTCCCTCACGCTCTACCAAACCTTGTAAGTTCATTCTTCATTGTTGGTCTAGAAAAGTGAAGAGAAAAAACTGGAACTACGTGGCATCAAAAAGCTATTTGGAAACGGCTGGAAAATCCAACATTGAACAAGACAGAAGACCTCTCGCATATATAGGACAGGGCACCGGTGATATTTCCTAGCCGTGTGGCATAAGATGGCCAGTCCATTCAGATCAT